CCTTACTTACTTTCTCGAACTATATTTGAATTTCCCGCTTTTTGGCCCAAAGGCGGTGCCTATTTCTTATCTATGTTACCTACGCTGCTTATACATTGCTTAAATGGGAAAAGTGGGGGGAACTAGCAGTCCATACTTATATAGTCAAAGTACTACATATATAATTAAATAGAATGGAGAAATTATATTTTCGATGTTGGTAACTCCCTTGACTCAAAATAGAGAATTTCTTTTTCTTCAGTTTGGTAGCTCTGAAATCGGAGTTTCACGTTTTCACTTCGAGAGGTCTTCAAGGTCAACATATGAATTCGAACTCCGAATTTTTCGAAGTTGGCTTTCACTTCTGCTGTTCGACCATCAGACATTTGGGAACATGAGGAACAGCTGACGAAAATATGTCACTCACCAGGTGTTCATAACTGTAAATAATAGAACGCATCGAATGTATCATGAATAAGAATAAAGTAAACAAATGGTTGAGCATAAAAACATTTATTTATTGCTGTCGAATTTCTTCGATTTACCTGTGAAAACCGTTCGTTCTAAAATTGTATAAACTCTTCGACGATGGAAGAAGAGCCCGAAGTGGTGGAGCATTTCTTCGGCGTGTATCTACTCTACTGTTTGAATCCAAAATACAAAGGAAGAACGTACATAGGTTACACTGTGAATCCAAGACGCAGGATCAAGCAACACAATGCTGGTAAAAAACACGGTGGAGCCTGGAGAACTAGCAACAAGGGACCATGGTGAGCGTAAACATGATTTTTTCTAGAGAACGCAACATGTGTGTCTAAAATTTCGTGTAAAATACATGGCATAAAAAATAAATTAACAAAAATAAGAGAACAGACTTTTGTAAAAATATAGAATGCACAGAATAAGTATATCTTCTAAATTCTAATGATGATACTCAACATTTATGATTTTAGGAATATGGTCTTGATTGTTCACGGATTTCCCAACAATACTTCTGCGCTCAGAGTGAGTCTCAGAAATAATTCTCTATTTAAAAAAAAACTCAATTGTGTAATTTCTTTGACAACAATGACGGATTGTAGATTATGGATTGTAAATTGTTTTCAGTTCGAATGGGCTTGGCAGCATCCGCACGAGAGCAGACGGCTTAAGCACATACCAAAGAAGAAATCGTCGCAGAAGAGGTTCGACTTCTGCTTAACGGTTCTTTCCGAAATGTTGAAAGTTGGACCCTGGTGTCGTTTGCCGTTAACGGTTCGTTGGTTGGATTACGAATTCTCCAAAGACTTTCACGGATGCATATCGCCGCCACTGCACATGCCTATATGCTACGGTAAAGTCACCAGTTGCAAGAACAAGCGAACGCAGAGATCGAAAGCCGACGATATCGTTTCGAAGGAATTGCGCGGGGAAGATTCGCTGATGTTCTGTTCTCTCTGCGGCTCGATTATGACGGAAAGGGATTCTGTCTCCTGCGTGCAACCGAAATGTCTCTTGATCGCGCATTTGATCTGTCTGGCGAAAATGTTTTGCAAGAATGAAACGATGATTCTACCGATCGAAGGTAGTTGTCCCGCGTGCAGAACGAACGTCCTCTGGGGAGATCTTGTAAGAAAAAAGAACGGGTGCTATCAAACTCTTCGAGAGACTTCCACCGATTCCTCTTCCAGCGATAGTGACGATATATTATAAATATCTCGTAGTTTAGTCGAAGTTCATCTAACTGTAAATAGAATATGTACATTGAGGATTGTCATTCAGTTTTTCTTGTGGTAAAATAGTATCCTAGAACAATCGCTATATTTTGTGATATATTTACATCTTATCACAGTGGAGTTTGTTTAATACGAGGATAACGCGAAATTACATGTAATATTATTTGTATTTTTATAATTATAATTTATATATGCACAGTTTACAAGCAGAATTTGTGTTCTTGTTGCACATCAAATTCTTTCTCTATTCTCTCCCTATTTTGAACAATGAAGAAAGTATATAAATTTTAATACATCTATTCAAATTTTTTATTCTATACTAGAGAAAAAATTACGATGAGATTTCGGAGAGAAAAATTTTGTTTTTTTATTTAATTTTTGTCTTTTCTCTACTTCATTTTGTTTTACAATTGCTCGTTTTAAACTATTACAAGGTTTGCGAGGTCGATGATCTTACGATCGACGATGCAAACGGTAGATGCGCGTGTGACGACATTAATTCGTGATACGTTTTGACACGTGAAACGTTAACTGTTACACAGCAACAGTGCGTCCATGATTTCTATTCGGTGGACATTGGTTTACTGTGCAATTAGCACGCGCCGAGCCGAAACCGTTAGTAGAACTCGTACGTGATCAAACAGCGCCATTCACGTCGAAATACTTGAGGTGTACGCCAGTGGTAACATAATCGTTTTTTTTTTTTTTTAATTTATAAGCCATATGTTGATTTCCTCGACTAGCCATTAGTACGTACATCTCGCGCGTAAATTATTATTGTGTACGTGTTTTTATCTTTATAATTACTCATAATTACTGCAATTTGCTATATAATTACATAATACAAATCAGCGTAAGAAATGAACAAAGATCTTTCGATTCGTTGGTTTTGTAGAAGCGAAAAAATGATAAACAACAATTAAATTACGCGCTAACATCATTAAATATACGCGATGTTAATAAAAAATACGTGTTGAAACAATAAACAAAAATATAAAAATTTACACCAGAGAGAATTTCGACATTTTTTTATAATATATACTCCAAATATGTACTTTAAAAATTGTTTTCGTCAAAACTATTATTGATATTACCAATAAACATAAAGTGCGCTTAAATCTTCGTACGCTTCGCCTTTTCGCATACAAGACTTGTACGCATTTTATAAACTAAAATAAATTAGTTCTTAAAAACTAGAATAAATAAATAAATTAAAAAAACTTTGTATGTGTTTCATACATTAGAATTTCCGCGCTTTCTGATTCACCGCAATTCACATATAGATATACAGAAATATATATATAAATATCCAGAAAAAGAGAGAGAAATATCGTCTGTATATACTATACGTATATAGGTAAATAAATCTCCACGCGGATTTATGTTCTCTCGCGTGGTAATTTTATACAAGCTGTCTCACGCTTTTAATATCTGCTTTTATTGCGATTTAATTTCACACACGTGTGCCCTGTCAAAATAAATTAAATAAACGCGATGATGCGATTTCTTCGAGAGATTAGCAAGTCTTCGCCGCGCGAGATCTCTTTCAAAGAAATACAAAACCACCAAATTTGTTATTTATGCGAAAGAGATTTCCATTGCGATTAAGATGTAGATACCAATTTCAGTGGACCAGAACCGACGGAATTGATGGTTACGTTCGCTCGATACGGGATAAACAGAAAGCGGAAACGAACGATTTGCTGGCCATATCTTCACCCGTGGTAACCGGTGCGCATCCATTAGTAGCTCTACCGAAATTACAACGGATAACGGTACGGAAAACCTCACTTAAAAAGAGCAAGATATAGACGTAGTCTCGCGGTTGAGAGTCAATATAATCCGGCTATCGCGCTAAAAGAACAATTTTCAAGTTTTTTTGTGCGAGTATATTCCAATATTATTCCAAAACATATATCAAATTGTACACGTAAAAATCTATCTTCAATTTTTCCGCTCTAATAATAACAATTTTAACAATCATTGCGTGTTTTTTGATACTTTTTTTTTTTAAAAAAACAAACTTCTCATTTTGCGTTGTATTTAAAATCCAACTCGATACAAAGTGTTATTATTTACTGATAGGAATAAAATAATTGGAACATACATAGCAGCTCGTCTCTCTCTCTCTCTCTCTCTCTCTCTCTCTTGCAACGAACGTATATAATCATCTAACGTATCTATATTTACGTATTTAATTATTATATTTTGTTCGCGTTTATGTTCGCGTTTCCTTTTATTGATCCAGTTTTCCGAGATAGCGAAGAAACTGGATGTTCTCTCTTCATGCGAATCGCGAACATTTTTTGCTAAAAAAAAAAAAAAAAAGAACACGTCTATTTTAAAGTAAACGTCTTTTGTGTGAGCGAGCAGAATTTCGAAGAACGCGTTATCGCATTGACCTGTAACGTCGCGAAAACGCGCGATTTAAAATAAACTAGAAGACACCCAAGTCGGACACAACATCGTCGTCGTCGCCGTAGTCGTCGTTGTAGTCTTCTGCTCCGGGCGGCACAAAAATCCCGCCGAGCACACCCGAAAGATTTTCTCCGAGCCCCATCGCCGAAGCCACTCCGAAGATCAATCTCATCACCAGCAATCGCATAAAGTTCACCACGTTGGTCTCCTTGCTCTGCAACGACAGCTGCGTCTTTTTCGTTCTACCCTCCGCATAACGAATCTGCGAATTACGAAACCACTTTCGAAATTTGATCGAGGAGAAGAAGCTTCGAAAAGAAGAAACGTATTTGAAGCGGAAAGTAAGCGAACTGAAAGATGTAGTTCAAAACATGAACATTTCTAGAAAAAAAAAAAAAAAAGAATTATCGTAAAAATATAAAAAAAAGATCTGCCACCTGTTGTAAAGCACAATTTACAAAACTACGATAAATTTGAAAAGGGAGATTTGTGAACCGAGATTTGCGGTTCGCAATAAATGTCGAGATTGCGAGACCGCGATGAGGAAGGATCCGATAAAGACGAATAATTGTTTCCGTCAGAAAGAGAGAAAATTCGTTTGCGAAAAACACAAATTTGTACTCACGCTCGTGCAGACGAGCAGAACACTCAGTAAAATAATCCGCGCTCTCATAATGTTTGCGTCTTCTAATGCACTTGATAATCACTTCCGGCCGGCGGCGGCGACGACAACTTGCTCAGACAGCGATCGGTGTTTATCCAGGAGAACGACCACGTTGCGGTGCTTCGCATATACGAGGCATTCGCGCGTCGTAGAGAGAGAGCGATCTGTCGCGCCACGTTCGCCGAACAGAACTGAGGAACAGGAAAATCGAGCGCGAACGGGCCACGGTCGCGATCTCTGCGAGAGTCTCTCGGCCTTTTTTTTCCCAACCGCGAGTAACGTAGTTACGCGCCGGCCTCAGAGAATGGAAGAAGAAAAGAAGCGCCCCGCATTGGAAACCTAGCGATGACCACACGTTCTCGCCCCCTTTGACTGAGAGGGGAGGCGGTCAAGCAAAATCGACAACACGTCGTGTTGTCGATACGCATCGGCCACGGTTCGCAGAATCTAAGTTGTTCTACAATATAACGGTAACCCATTACGAAAAAAGGCATCCAGGCCAGGTCTCTCTGGCGCTTCGCGCGCCATAAGGACGCCGCTAGTCATCGGATTGCATCGCGACACGCGACGTGCGCGAGCTTCAGCGATGAAATTATCCTATAAGTGCCGAACACGATTCTGTCATTCTGTCTCTCTTCCTTGTTGCCTGGTCTGTCACGTCTAGATATTCTGTTAGTCGACGTTCTATCTTCTCTCTTGACGATTCAATCTCATCACAAGGTGACCTTTTGGTCAAAGTTCGTTGGTAGAATGGAGAAGAAATCTATCAAGTGTGTTGTACACAGCGATATATATATATATGAAAGAAGAAGCAACTTGTAGCCTGCAAAATCCGTGAAACCAATTTCATAGATTCGTGTATAAAAAAAAACAAATATCAAACTTCGCATACGTGAAATAATAAAAATTTGAGACATTCCACAGTAGCGTCTCTTGTGAGACCGGAGTTTTTTTTTTATTATCTTGTACAAAAACAATCTGAACGAGGACGCGCGTAAAATATACGTTTTTTTTTTATATCAATGAGAATTTTTTCTTCTAAAAGAAACAAAAGTAAGATACAAAACGTCTGCTCTGATGTTTGTTCGAGCGTTATATTTTACGCTGATTCGCGACCGTCGTGTAATTTCTCCAATTTGTTTTCTCGAATGACCTTTGTTCCGAATTACCAACCCTGTGCCATTGGCCTGCTTATACTGCGGGGACGTATACGATTCTCGCGCGACGAATCATCCCGAGGATGATGCGGAGCCCGCACGTCGTCGGCTAAGCTAGAAAACGCACACGAGATATTAGCCTGAATCCCAAGTGCCGATGAAATCCGGCATGGATCGTTAGCTAACGCATCATCCATTCGTGCCGTATATTACGCGATGTGTTACGAAATTTTTTTTGTCCCTTCCCCCATCCGGAATAATAACGTTTAACCGCCATTCTATCCACATACGCGCACACATACGTACACACACACACACATACTCTGGGAAAGTTCGCTTACTGGTTCACTTTTTCGAGTCATACTCGACTGCAAATGGAACTTTCAGCTATATTCTTATTAGCACGCAATTTATTCGAGCATCTTCATATTTTCCTCTCCCCTTTATTCTCATTTATTTAAATTGTACGAAAAAGACGAAAAAACTTTTTCTACCAACAAATTTTCTTCTAACAAACGCAAAGTGTTCGCGGAGACAATTAGATTGCTGAGGAAAAAAGTTAATGTAATTAAAATTATATACAATTAAAATATATATAAATTATATATAATTTAACGCAATATACACGCATTAACTTGCGTAAATAGTAAAATATCATGATCGAGATAAAGATCCTTATCGATGTATAACTGATGTTTTGCTTATTCTTCGCTGACGAGGGCTCTGTATAATCGCCGAGCTGATTATGCGTTCCCATCGTTGATCGAATGGAAATGAAAAGCCTCCCGTGAACGGCGTTGTTGTTATACCAGTCCGGAATGTCGATACCGGCTGTGACGCGCGATCACCTAAAATCGAAGGACAATGACGACGACGACGACGACGACGACGACGACGACAATGACGACGCGAAAGAGAGAGAGAGAGAGACAAAGAGAGTATTCCCATCGGATTCGGTCGTCGATCTGTCCCGGCGATGAAACCACCAATGAAAGGCAGGATGCGCGGACCGGGACCGGACGTAACGAGTCCGGCATACGCAAACAGTTCCAGAAACGAAGGAAACGTCGTCGTCATCGTCACCGCGCCTCAATGACTTACACCCTGTCGCAATCAAGATAATGCCGCCTAAGTATGGCGCGCCTTCTAAGTCGACTTCTAAAATAGTCGTATGTAGCCATTAGACACCTGCGAAGAGAGAAAGAGCGTCGTTTTGGCTGCGCTTCGCGCGAAGCCGAAGACAAGCGTTTTTCTCTTGCGACGAGAAACTCTTCAAACTACCGAAATCAATCATTTTTAATTTACAACAAATTAGCAAAAACGCACAATAGTAATTTTTGTATTTACACATCAGCGTATCTCTGAATAAGTAAGATAAAATGCATTTCGCGTAATTTCGCATTTCAATAAAACAATTAAATTATATATATAATTTTACTGTTCTTTAAAAAAAAAAATTTACAAAATTTACTGATCGATTTTACCAAGTTACTATTTTTCAAGTTATGTTTAAGAAAAACGTAATTAGACCAATGATGTGCATTGGCTGTAATATCTAAAACAATTGCATGTAGTAGCACACAAAGAAAGCTCTTGACATATATATATACATATGTATATAATTATGGTGCAGCATTCGATGAGAAAGAGAGAGAGAGAGAGAGAGAGAGAGAAAACAAATTATTTACCGAAACAAAGAGAGAGTCAATATTCATCAATAGTATCTTTCTGTCATCACGACGAGAAGTGCATACGCGCGTCGCGCATACACCAATATAGACCATGGTAAATGCGCCTCGCCGAGTTCATAGACCCAGTTGGGGGACATTATCTGACTCTCGTCGTACAACCGCTCGGTGTAGGTACATACATACTAATGTAATAGGTGCGCGCCAAAGAATTCACGCGCGTTTTCCGCGCACTTTCCAATGAGATTGACACCTATCATTGCGCGGGAAAGCGGGCCTCGCGCGCGCGCTTTTACGGCCACCCCGATTTTCACGTCGAGTCTTCAATTTCGATCGCGAATAACCGCGCTATAAAGCGCGCGCCGTGGGACTCGACTCGCCGCTTGCGAGCCGATCATTCGCAATTATCGCGAACGCGTGTCATTAAATCCGATGTCTTCCACCTGGTCCTCTGGAAACGGAAAAATCGCTTCGTTCCCGTTAGCTCGTCGTCATCCACGTTTTTCGTATTAGATACGATTTAATAAAAGCGCGACGATGATGACGCGCGGGGCGATTAAAGGAAATGCACATACACGCGTAGCCGATTCACGGGTGGCCAGGCGGTGACGCGGAGACGGCGACGCGGTGATGGTTGGCGTCAACCATCGGTGGGGAATATTGATTATTAGCAGAAGATCGTTTTCTCTCCCGTGTACATACGCACGCGTGGATATTACACGCGTGTGTATATATATATATATGTACGTATTGAAACAATAAAAGCCCCCGTGCGCGTCACACACTGTCCTCCTCCGATTCTCGCCCGCCGTTCTCGACTTCCTGTTTCGCTCCTCTCTCGCGTCCTGAAAGAGAGACGACGAACGTCCCGGGATCCTCTCTTTGTCAGTGCGTGCTTCACCCTCGTGCACGACACTTTGCTCCAATCCCGCGACGTTCGAATAAAAACAAAAACGCGCGATTCGATTGATTGAAACTACATTTCTAGCATAGAGACGCGATCTCTCTCTCTCTCTCTCACTCTTTGAATCTCAAAGTTATTCTATTCGGTATAAACGATAAATTTCACCTGTCTGATCTGAAATGAATTACGCGACATAGACTGACGTAAACGTTTTTAACACTCTCTTAAAAAAAAAAAAAAAAAAAATGCCGCAAGTGGATCGAGTTCGATGCCAATAGAAAAAGAAACATGCGGCTGTCGCCTTGAGTCTCAAAATCGTTTGTTTCAATTATCGCGGGAGTAATGAACGTGTGCGCGAATCGGTTCAGATTTATTTGCACGGTTCTCAAACTGCGGTGCGTGTCGCGCTTTTTGACGTGAGTGATTTGATCGTCGGAGAGGACACATCGTCGAGAGTCGCGGATGTGGAGGAGACAACGTCGTCGTCGTTGACGATCATCATGAATGCCGAGGAAGTTAAAGTGGGCTGCTTTCAAATGGTTCTGGTGGTGTTGCTCGGAATAAACTATGTCATCGTCGCCATGAGTCACGCGTTGCCGATTTTTCACAACCACACGCCGAAATTCTATTGTCAGGTAAAGAGAGAGAGAGATGTGAGATACGAGAACGGTCCGGATCTTTGAAAGAATTTAAGAGAATTTTCGTTGTGTTTTTTTTTCTGTAATTATTAGCAGCTATATACATATATAGAAACTGTTAGAAAACAAATAAATGTTCAAAAGAAAAAATAAAAAGCTCTTGGGAATGTTCTCTTTGTAAAAAATAAAAAAAATAAAAATTTCCCGCTTTTTTTGCGTATTCGTAGGTGAAAAATTCAACTGGCAGAAGCTACGGCTGTCAGAGCTACGCCGCGAATACATCGATCGACGTCAACTTGACTTCCACGTCGCCGGAGATCCTCGCGTCGTCCTGTTCCGGCGATTATCGCTTCGTGACGGAGTTCGAAGAGAGTAGCGTTGTCACCGAATGGAGCTTGATATGCGAAAAACAATACCTGTCTTTTCTCGGACCGACTGTTTATTACGCCGGGGTGCTGCTGGGCGCGTGGATCGCCGGTCTGTTGACCGATCGTATCGGTCGACTTCCGGTCCAGGCGATATGCCTTTACGCGCAGGGCACAATGGCGGTGGCGCTCTACGTTGTGCAGGTACAAAAAGTGTATCCTCTTCGCGTAAATAGAATTTGTAAAAATTTTCTTCTCTTTTCTTCGCGCGCGTTTTTTCTCATGCACGCGCAAATGTTGAGTCGCGGAATTGTCAAGAAAATCGTGATTTGACTTCAGGATTATCCCGCGTTTCTGGCGCTGCGCGGTCTCCAGGGAGTGTTCGTGCAAGGGCTGCAGAACTCCACGTATATTCTTTCATTAGAATTATTCCCGGCGCGATCCCGCACCCTCATCGCGTTAATCATGCAGATCTTCTGGTCGATCGGTCTCGTGCTGCTCACGGCGCTCAGCTACGTAATTCCCGACTGGCGAATTCTGCAGTTGGCCGTTTCCGTTCCCACCGCGGTCACGGTGCTGTACATTTGGTAAGTATACGAAACAAATTTGAAGACGTTCGAAACGTTTATTTCGCAGATAATCTTTACAGAATATCTTTCGAACGCTAAACAGAAGTTTAATCCGAAAAAAAGGGGTAGTGTTGCCCCGATAAAAATAAGTAAGTTTCGAAGAAAGAGATGGTGTGATTGCATGTTATATATGTGCAACACAGGATTATACCGGAATCGCCGAGATGGTTGCTGGCTAAGGGAAAATCGACCGAGGCCGATATGGCGCTCGAACGAATCGCCAAGTACAACAGCTGCTGCTGTTGCGCCCGGTCACGAGCGGAGAAGAACAGAGAAAAAAAACGCGCGAACAGTAACGCGACGCCGATAAAACCGGAGAGAAAATCGCGCGTCACCAGCGTCGATCTGAAAAAAACGAGAACCGACGAAAATCAGAGAGACGAAGCCACGAATCTGCTAAACGGCTCGGAACCAACCGAACACAAACTTTCGAGTACGTTAAACATTAATTTTAATATATATCGAAAAAAAATCGTTTTTTTTTTTTTTGTGATTCTTGCACATCCTCGCGAATGATATTTCGTACTGATACAAAAAAAATAACATCTTTCTATATAGAGAGAGCTTCGAAAGCTAATTCGACGAACTCGGAGAACAGATTCTCCACTGTGGAATTACGTCGGGAAACGTCGAACATCGTCGAGGATAGGAGAGATTTGCCTTCGAGTTCGAAGATAAATCGAAAATCAAAAGCGCTTTCGGGATGCGATAATCAAAGAATTTCCTTGAGAGAAGCGGAAGGTGAGGTGGTGTTGCGCAGAACGAAAATGGAAAGCGGACGCGAAGGTAAAGAAGAAGCGAGAGACGAGAAGAAACAGGACGAGACGAGCTCGATGTTGAGGACCACATTCGAATCGGCGAAGTTGAGGAAATACGCTGCCGTAATGGTTTGTCAATGGTGAGATTATCAGTGTAAAAATCACGTGCTGCTTTTTTTTTTTTTTTTTTACATTGCCGCACTTTTACTGCCGAATTCACAAAGAACGATCTCGCGCGGATGTGCGCAAAACAAAATTTGTTCGATGATTTAAAATTTTTCAGGCTGACATCCGCGATGGCCTGCGACATACTTAACAATCTGGCGCCCAACTTCCCGCTCGACAGGCACATCACGTTCGCTTTGACGGGAGGTCTCGAAATGGTGACGTACACATTCGTGTACTTCGTACTGTCTAGATACGGTAGAAGGCTGCCCGTGTGCATATACCAATCTCTGAACGGCGTAGTTTGCATGTTAATTGCGGCCCGCCTCATTTTAACCACCGCCGATGCACCGTCCACCGGTACGTGTGCGCTAATTGAACACAATTGAGATCAAAACCTATGCAATTTCAATTCCGATCGTGCATGAAAAAAAAATCCCGCTTTCACGGAAATAAAATCACCGTATATTTTTCTTAACCGCGGACGTGCATAATCTTTAATTTCAGATCTCGTGTGGACGATAATGCTGCTGTTCGGCAGAGTGACTGTCACGAGCACCGTTTCCATCGTCTATCTGTACACCGTTGAGGTGTTTCCGACAGTGGTGCGTGGCAGTTGCTTGGGATTATGCGTGGTGTTCGCGAAAATCGGCAACCTAAGCATGCCGCATTTGTTGCTCTCGGTATGTCGTCAGTTTCTCTTTGTTTGAATTGCTTTCGCATTCCAAATTGCAGTTTGCCCTCTTTCGATTTCTATGAATCTCGCTTTTGAATTGTTAAAATTACATTATTTGACGCACAAAAGATTAACGATCTGTTCATCAGGGGCAACACGTGCCGGTTCCGGTGCCATTACTAGCGGTAGGTATGTTCTGCCTCGTATCCGGCGCTCTCGCTTTAATTTTGCCGGAGACTCTGACCAAAGTTCTGCCGGATCACACGGCGGACGTGGAGCGCATGATCGGCGATAGCAAAACCGATAGCGACGACGGTAACGCAAAAACCGAGACGAAAGAAGAGGACTCGACACAGAAGCAAATTCTGCGGGAAAAGCTCTTCTCGGAAGACTGGGTGGATGCCGGTAACGGAATTTTGGTAAATTTTACAGAGAACAAAACTAACGATTAGTTTGCAAAATTTTAAAAAAAGTCACGGCACTTTGTATAAAATCGATCGAAGCTTGATGAATACTTTCCCTTTTTTTTTGTCCCCCTCTCCTCATACATATGTTACTCATTAGTGTATATACATATATATATATATATATATAAATACGTGTAAAAGATCAAATTTATTTGCATATACATTAAACATGTGTTATATATAAAATATATATTACACACACGAGTAAATTACGAGCGATTATACTATCATATACACATGTTTGTGACAAGTATTTATTTTAGACATAAGTAGCGTAAATAATCTTGTTTGAAGATAAAAGAAAATTCGGAGGATCACTTGGTTCAGACGAGACATTTGCGCGTTTACACATTAAAATAACATGTATAATAATATATAAACGACTTTCGGAGTTTTATATGTATGTACATACAATAGGATTTAAAAGTATAATTCAGGCCAGGTGAAAATTATCCTCTACCAAATACCCAAAGATGCTACGTCTGAATACACATGTATAAAACGAAATAATTGATGGATGTGTAACAAGACTGAAAGAAAACCGCTATATAATAAAAATAAATCTTTTCAATACAAAAATATCTCAATTTTTCTACGCTACATTATGTGTACTTCTATCAGAAAAAAAAAAAAAAAATGCGATCCGATGATTTATATATACAAAAACACGTGAGTTCACCTATTTATCACAGTCAAGCAACACAGCTAAACGAATCATTTCACAGAGTTAATAGAGAAATCATGTACGAGATGCGAACTCCATACGTCAGTCTCCTAAAGCAAGCGTGTCGATCTAGTGTCGCGATCTGAAGTCTTCGAATTCAGGGAACCTTAGGTTGAGCAATACCGTTGTTCTGAGGATTGGCTTGCTGCGTCTGTTCGGCAGCTGTCTGCAGCAGTCTTGTCCGCCGTCGCGTATAATGCTGCCACAGCAGAATCTGTTGATCGTCGATGAATTTGGTGCACTGGGAATTAACGACCTCCCTTCTAAAGTGCTCGTACTGCAGCAAATCCAGGAAATACAAGCACATAGGATACTTCAGATACTTGGCGTATTCCGGCTCTTTCCAGTACAACAAATACTTGAGGTAGTTGATAAAAGTCGAATCCTTGAAGTAACCGCGTTGTGCTAAAACTACATATATATTCTTTACAAATAAGGAAAAATTATTTTTTTTTTCAAAATAGCAAAAAGAGAACGCAGCGATCATTCTCGCACTTACAATTCAAGTAGTTTGGATTTGCAAGGCATTGCACAAACTCTAATTCAATCTGGAACCGTAAACGGTGTTGCTCGTCGGTTTCAGGAGCCCCTAGAACATACGTTTTAGAGCTACAGATCACACGATCAGAGACAAGAAATACCTGTCCAGAGAGAAACTGCTTGTGAAGTCTGCTATTAAATAATAACATAATTTACAATTAAATAATATTAAGTGATTAAAATAGATACAATGTCAAAGTAAGATCAGAGTTTGTTTATTGAAACGAGTTCTTGTGTTTGTGTACACGCGCCCCTTTCATCCATATTTACATTTTATACTTAAATAGATAATACAATTAACAGTCTTTTGCTCCGTTCCCACACTCACATTTTGCTGATTCCTTGTAATTTAATTAGAGAAGCAGGTGGATTAGGTTATGTTAGATTAAAATATAGATGAGTTGTCTACACAACGTACCGTTCATCCCAATGAAAGATGGTTTTCTGCCTTTCATGAGCCCTGATGGATCATCCAATCGATTCATAGTAGTACATCAATATCTGTAAATCGACGATATTCGATATCGTTCGTAAGCAACAACAATCACAAGCAATGAAATTACAAGCGCGCGCGATAACTTTGCACTTTGTACGCAGCCACAATACAAACAACAAGCATGGCTACAAGTAGCGCTAAACTCGGCCAAGTGAGAAACTAATCTGAGAGCAATTTTCATTTGTTTTTTGCACAAAAAATGCAAAGTATATAAAATAAACACAAATATAAAAATTTTTTTCACGTTTTTACATCATTACTCTTTCAGCATAAATCTGTGTCGGCACTTTTGAGATCAGCAAAATTATTCAGATTGCAAAATCCAAAAAGATGTCGCAAGAGAAAGAGAGAAAGAGAGAGACGTCTAATTTATTTTAGCTATTTTTTGAATATCTTTATGTTTTTCGAATTTTTACGCTGTCTGGGCAATAACAGCGCGTATGAGCGACATTACTGAAATTAATGTAACGTTATCCAAACTACTTTTTTTACATTATCTTTTGTCTTGTGTTCGCGCTTCTTTTTTCAGCTCGTTGTTAAATGAGAGAAATAAATTAAATCAAAATAAAACTTGTTTTAAATCAAGAAATAGAACTTTATACAGCCATACTCTGTATACGTGCAAAATATATTGTGTTGCAAAATGCGGCGCGTATTGTCCACGCGGTATAAGATGTTGATATATTTTTAATGCGTTAAAATTAATACATATAAAATTCGAATTAATAACATTTTTGAATCAAATTTATATAAAATAATATTTTGCATCACATACATATGAATTAACTGCATTTGACTGTGCAATAAATTTAAAAAATCTCAATGAAAAAGACACTTTGTATTCTTATTGTATAATGTAATATTCTTATTGTATAATGTGTTGTGCATAATTTGGCAACTGTACGGAATGTAGAAAATCTGGTTTGGTTCTTGGTCAAGATGTTTTTTCTTGCATTGAGAATGAAAAAAAAAATTTGAAGAATTAAGTAGATGCTTCATATATATGTGTGTGTGAATACAAAGTAGTATAAGTAGACATTTTATATAAATTTTAAAATAAAATTTTTTGTGTGCAGTTATTTACATATAGAATGTAAAATAATTAATTTAAGTTTTATATGTGTAAATTAATACACATTAATCAATTTATATTCATGTATAGTAATTTACACATAGGAAAAAAATTATAAATATAAAAATGTATCTTAAATATATATTAACAATATATATTTCTCACGTACATTTAACGTATGTGGTTGTAAAGACCTATTTCTTGATTTAAGTGTATACTTATTAAAATCCGTATTATTTCGTGAAACATTTCTCTTTATTTGTATTGCACATCTTATTACACTATCAACTCGCATACATATTATTCTTTGTATGTAAAATCACAATTAATCAAAATTAGTTTTTTTGCACTGTCAACTAATTACTATTAATAACATATGAGTATTAACCCAGTAAACACAAAGTAACAGTAACGTAACATTAATGTTACAATTTCTTACTTAACAACATGTAACTGTTGTACGTACAAGACATGTTACATCGCAGTTACATTGTTAAGAAATTGTAATATTAATGTTACGTTACTGTTACTTTGTGTTTACTGGGTAATAACATCTGTGATTTTGTGGTGCTACCAGTCTCAAGGTAAACATGACAAAGCAAGCTCGCTTGTTTCCTGCTCAAAACACATAGCGTGACAAGTAAATGTCACGGTAATATAAAATTAAATAAACTAAAAATAGAATAATATAAAAAAACATGATTTCTTGATTACTGCTATAGTCTCATAATTTGTTCTCTTGTAATTTGTTTCTGTATCTCTTTAATAACTTAATTAGAGTTTATTTAAATAATTACATGTTTAGAAAGCAAGAAAGAGAGGAAGAAGTAACAACTTTTTTATACGTCTCTGTTTTTCTCTACTCTAATATATGTACACATTTTTGTATGTTTACGCGCAGTATATATAGTGTAGCTAGTCTAGTCGACTAGTAACAGTATTCCTGCTAGTGTGATTCACAGAAGAGTGTCTTCGTTTTTCTCGAGCGCGTGACTCTACCTTGTAAAAAAGTTTTTCAGTTTTTATAGCTTATATATTGTATATTGAACAGTTTTAATACACATATATTATTTTCATATATTTTTTGTATTAAAGAATTGTTCGAAAATTGTTCACATCTACTCTGCGATAATCATCAAGTGTGACAAAGCATTATTCTCTTCAGCAAACTTGAGATAAAAACGCATATATTCAGGTAAAAAATAACAAAACAAAAAAAGTTTGGTATATAATATTATTGTTAATGACGGCGTTTTATAAACAGTTATTATATCGTTTTATAAACAGTTATTATAGCGAAAAATTATTAAATCATGTTCGCCATCAAGAGAATTTCCTACGAAGAAGAAAAAAAAAAGAATCCCGAGTTGAAGGATTCCGACGTACAAATTTTAAACGACTGGTGCATGAAGCAGCCGCATCTTCCGAAGATCTTGGACGTCGAGTACGCGTTATTTCTGCACAGCAACTATTATCAAATCGAGCCTAGCAAGACCACCATTGAGGCGTATTACACATCCAGAACTCACATGACGGAGTTTTTTTCAGATCGCGATCCCCTCGGAACGAAGCAATTGCGTGAGGCATTTAAAATTACGTTAGTATATATAGTTCACATATATAGTATATGCTTACATCATATCTTTAAATAAAATTTACATTTAAAAGTGATAATTTATACAATAATAATAATTAGACAAATTTGTGAATGCAAAAAATCAAGAGGTTAAGATCAATACGAGCCGATACATAAATTATTTTTATGCACAGTATCACTGTCGCACGTTTCGATTCATTAATTGAAATCTTCTTCGATGATTAATTGGAAAGAAAGTATCACCAGCGATAAATTATCACACAATAAATTACACGAGTGCATATGATATTATAAACAACGAAATTATCTTACTAGAAAAAATTATACAATATTAAATTTTGATAATGATGACAGCAATATATATGTATATATCTGAGTCAAATAGATATTGATAAATTAAAGCACATCTATATAAGGTCAAAGAAACTTGTAGAAATATTCTGCGTCACATCTTTTTTTCCAAAAATACGTACAATATAGTTAAAAACAAGATTTAAAAAAATCGACGTAACGCTTTAGAGAACAAAAATCCTTGAAAATTAGAGCAAAAAATGAAATGTTAATTGATCTCTTCCAAAAGACTTGACGGTTTAAAGAAAATGGTTTAAAGAAACATTTTCCGAAAATTGTATTTACTATTTTATGTCGCAATTGTTCAATACTTGAAATTTAATGTTTTAATTTAATGCGTTCATAATGAGTGAACGCTTTTATGAATTAATGAAAATAATGAATATTTGTTGTAACAAGGTCGCAGGTAACATTGCCAAAGGCCACGAAGGAGGGATACAAAGTCGTTTATACGAGACTAATAGATTACGATCCGACGCGCTTCGTTTATAACGATATCATGAAATATTTTGCCATGGTGGTGGACATGTGGTTGTACACCGAAGGGACCGCAAGCGGCCATGTGATTATCATAGATATGGAAGGTGTCACCTTTAGCCATGCAGGCCGTCTCAGTCCTTTAGGAATCAAGAAGTTTCTCTATTATCTGCAAGAAGCCATACCGATCAGGCTAAAAGGCTTGCATTTCATCAACACCAACGCGGTCATGGATATCATTTTGGCGATGATGAAGCCGTTTATGAAGAAAGAATTGTTGAACGTGGTGAGAAAACGATATATGTAGAACACATTTCGATACCAAAGTTTCTATCGTTAAACGAATAAAATAACATAAAAATCGATTCTCGATAGTTGGATCTTACATTTAAGAACATTTCAAGTTCATATTGAGAGATGCTTTGTGGCTAAAAATAAAACAGCCTGTGCACAATCTATAGAGAAAAGAATGGTTCCAAAAGAATGGTTTTAAAAAACTAAATATACATTCGTTTTCATTAATTAACCTTTTAAATTTAAAAGTCACGGCAATTGATTTAAGAAAAGACTTCAAAATTCACGTTAAGCAATAAACCAGTTTTAGCTTATTATACTAGTTTTATCTTCACAAAATATTCGTATATCATTTATGGAAATCTTTTGTGCAACATGTTTACAGCTGCATATTCATACAACACCGAAAGAGACCTTGCCAAAATTTGTGTCACTGGAAGTGTTCCCATGCGATATAAGTTTGGTCGGGAAAGAGAGATCGCTAAAACAGCTCCAAGAAGAGCAACTAAAAAGACTCGAAGATCATCGTGAGTGGTTTTTGAAAGACGAAGCAACGGGACGTGTAAACGAAGCTTTGAGAGTAGATAAAAGCAAAACTATAGACAAGTTCGGAGTCGAAGGAAGTTTTAAAAAACTTGATATAGATTAACATTTATTAATGCACAAATAATGAGAATATATACTAATATATATATATACTTTAATAAGATTGATGCCAGCAATTGCGGTTAGACTAATGAGGTGAGTTGTATTTTACATATCTAAAAATATATACATGTTGTATTATACACATCTATAATACAACATATATCTATATACATTCCTCTCGGATAATATTTAAAGAATAACTATTAAGAAAAGAACAGATATTAAGTTCTATTAAGAAAAGAACAATAATATTTAAAAATAATTAATTACACATTTAGAAAAAAAAATCAAAGCGCTACGTCTTTGAATGAAAAAGAATTTTCTAAGAGAGAGAAGACTACAAACTATTTCACATTTAAATGTAAATCGCATGTTTGTTTCAAAATTTACTTGCGAATAAAAAAGAATCTTGTATCGAGAAAACAATGGAGTCTGTTATCCGCAAATTATGTATTTCTTTCTCTTTCTTTTTCTCTTACTTTTTCGCTTTTTTGCACGCATAAAATATTTAAAATTGTTTAAATATAATTGTAAATACAATTTGAACCTCAATGGCGAAAAAAATGTCCGAATGTTACATCTTTCGGGCAGACAGTAGGATTAGTATGGGTCTCTCAGACCCATTTAAAATTACGGCGTCTCTAATAAAAATTGATTTTTTTAAACGCTTATATTTTCGAAACTATTGGAGATTTTTCAATTTGTTTTTTTTTTATTGGCTTTTTATTGAATAAACTTTTGATTCAAAAACAAAATCGAAAAAATACTGATTTTTTGCGGAGATATTCGATTTTAAATTTGCGTGGGTCTTACAGACCCAATCTGTCCAACTAGTCATTATTTTTTAGATCTGTACACAAAGGATTAATTAGAATTTTTACTGTTATACTATATTGTTTGTTACTATTGTATTTTAGCATAAATGATAATACAATCTGTCTTCATCTAAAATTAAAATAAACAAGAAAAAAACAGTATATGTCTTCGTAAAAATTATAATGCTACTTTATTAAAAAACAATTAAACGGTCGTTATTCACAAAAAGAAAATTAACATGTCAACAATATCTTATTTGTAAAATGTATAACTGCATATTCTACGTTGTAAAAAGACGTCAAATGGAACGTGACATTAGAAAAAACAACATCGTCATTTCTTGTATGACCGTGTCACATACATCTTATGTAAGCGTGTTTCTCTAGTATTTAAACACATATAGGTCGAAGTTGTTTCTTTACCTTGATAATTATGTTAATCATATAATACGTAACGACCAAGCGTGTTGCGTAAACAAAAATAACGAAAACAATATTTATCTTGATTTAATGACAGGAAGAAAATTCTTTCATATGCGATACAAAAAAGAAAAACTCTACATCTCTATTTGTATATTTTTTGATATAATCATATATGCAATTAAGACGATCTCATATAATAATAATTGTAATTGCATTTACTTATACAACACTAGATATCAAGGTTGTCTAGAAATAAAAAATTTTTTTTCTTTTTCTTTCTATAATGAATTTATATTATTGCACGTTATACATAAACATGTATTTAAATTTTAATTCACTTCTTGGGACCACGCTTGTGTGTGATACAAGCACATTATATTATATTATATTTCAGAATCACAACAAAAAATAATTATTATGTAAAATGTGCTTTACATTGTAAATAGCGAATCATGTACAACTACATATTAACGTAGTATATTATTCCAGTTTTTATAGTCTTTTCTGATTGCAATATAAATTTATCAAGTTGTCTCTACAATCTGCGCAGTAGAAGATCGGTAGAAGTGTAATGCGTATTGAAGTTTTCTCGGTCTGACTCTCTAAAACATTCTCCTCGAGAAATCAGTAAGTAACAGGCTGCCAGTGTCTCAGCAGTATAATATTCTGCGCAATATTATCTGTTTGTAGGACAAACATATTTGTGATTAATCTTGAAATCTATATGGTGGACGCGTTTTGTAATATTTTTTTTTTTTTTTTATTGATTAAACTTGATCTAAATTTTATCTATAAAGTGATTGTGATTGTTCTAATAATCAAATAGTAGAAAAAAACTGTTATATAAAATTTATATATATAGTGCAGAAAAGAGAAATTTGTATCGTTGATATATAATCGATAATATTTGTGTTATAATTTGCTTTTGTGTAAATTTTATTGTAAGCATTAAATAATCTCGATATAACAAAAATACAAAGAGACATACCGCGTGTTTTCTACCTCAAATTATATTGCTTATCTTATTTAATCACACGAAAGAGTAAGTAGTATTTATATAAATTTACACAAATATTTTTTTATGCATGCTCACACATATATGTACTTAAAATTATATATGTTGTTAAAAATTTGTTTGTATTTTTTTGTTTTCAATTTTTTTTCGTGTGTGTGTGTGTGTGTAGAGAAATAGTTTTATTGAGCCCGATAAAATAAATAATTTTGTTAACAATTAATCAAAACTGAACGTTTATTTTTTTACTCAAGTGTGTAAAATCTCGAAATAAAAAGATGATAAACTTGAAAATAAAAATTTGCTCTTGTAGGTTAATCATGAATCAAACGAGGAACCTACAAGCAGAAATTCCGCCTTATTATGTACCTTTGGAAGAAGAATACAAGCGCAATCCGGAACTCAAAGCCTCGGATCTCCAAATTCTGTTGGACTGGATGGACAAGCAACCTCATCTGCCCAAAATACAGATGTTCTATCTTGTGTACTTTTTGCATAGTAATTATTACTACTTGGAAGCGACCAAAAAGACGATTGACAATTTCTTCACCGCGCGGACTCACATGCCGGAATTGTTCTGCAACAGAGATCCGATCGGATGGAAGGACCTACGGCAAACCTTCAGTGTTGTGTAAGCAGTTGTTAAAGTTTTAAAAATGCGCGACGCGCGCGTTCTGTTCGTTCGTCCCATTTGTGACTTAAAATACGAGAGCAAACTTTTGATAAACAGGGCGATCGTACCACTGAAGCAGTTAACAAAGGAAGGATACGTTATGACATTCGCCAAACTACTGGATACGGAACCGACTAAATTTATCCAAAACGAGGCCATCAAGTATTTATTTATGACATGCGAGACGCAAAACTTAATGCAAGGCACCAATCAAGGACAAATCATAATCCTAGACGCCGCGGGTGCAAAGTTCGGACACGTCGCTCGCATGAGCAATCCAATAATTCTGAAGAAGTTGTTGTTTTACATTCAAGAAGCCGCTCCGGTACGACTGAAGGCCATTCACGTGCTAAATAGTATGTCAATAGTGGACACGATTTTCAACATGATAAAGCCTTTAATGAAACCGGAACTGATAAATATTGTAAGCTCGCAATTAATAAATTATTTTATATTTATACTTTTCTTATTTAATAAATTATTGATTGTAACAAACGATCTAAGAAAAGAACACGCGGATATACCTTTGCTTTGTCAATTTTAGGTACATTTCCACACAAATATGGAAACGGTGAAGAATTATCTGCCTATCGAGGGTTTGCCAAACGAGTATGGCGGGAAAGCGGGAACTGTAAATGAATTAGTTGCCAAACACATTAAATTATTAGAGGAATTTCGCGAATGGTTTAAGGTTGACGAGGATAAACGAGTAAACGAATCGTTGCGAGTAGAAAAATTCGAAGGTGGCAACGATTTGTTCGGCGTGGAAGGTAGCTTCAAGAAACTGGAAATAGATTAATGTGTCAATATAGGTTTTCTTCTTTTCGTAATAAAAAAATTCTTCTTATTTATTTTTATCACTCGGAAAAACAAGATCACTCCAACAGCTTATGTCAGAAAAGTAAACACAATCTGATTTTCCTTCTAAGACACAAATTTCAACATCAAACAGCTTCCATCTAGAAGCAGAATCTGAAAATCTGTGAGAAGAGCAGCGATCATTCACGCAAATGATTCAAAATGTCTCACAAGAACAGTTATTCGATAATTGTTTTATTGTTCACAAGTTTTATCATATTATTTCTGTGTGGGAATATTGTTGTATTATTTATAAGTCTTTTAAACGGTGACTTATATAAAACAATTATAAAACAAGAATACATAAATTGATTATTTTATTAATCCGACAACTATGTCTCATCGTCTCTGTAAATAATTAATTCGACAACTATGTCTCATCGTCTCTGTAAATAATTAATTCGACAACTATGTCCCATTGTCTCTGTAAATAATTGGGATAATAAATATGGCACAATAAATTATGCGTAATAACGAAAATTATGTGTAATAACGATAATTGTTAGTAATTATTAGAATAAAATAATTTTAAGAGAAATAGAAAAAAAAGAGACAGAGAGAAGAGTCAAAGAAAAAATTATTATATAGTCGTTGACATTTAGGTATACATATACTTATTAAGTCCTTACTTAAATAGGTTTTTTACTTGTTTGTTCCTTAAAGAATTCCGAACGAAGACGTCGGAATCTTGACACGTGTCGCGATCGCGGAATGCTCATACAGAAGCTATAATAAGCCACGCACGCGCTGCTCTAATTACAATCAGCTCACAATACAAATTAGATTTGCGTATTTTGTGCAGTACAAAAAATAAAATATTTTAAATATAATATTTAATATAATATAAATATAATATTTCTAACACAAAAAATTTGTATAAGTACTTTCGGTCGTATATCGAATTGTTGCTATATGAATTGAGCTTTACCAATAGCGATGGCGATCGTCACATTGGAAGACGAGATGAAAAAGAATCCCGGAGCTGAAACTATCGGACGTACAATCGCAAACAACGTACAAACATACGATCGAGGAACTGGTGCGCGACAAACAGCCACACTTACCGAAGATCGAGGACAGCTTTCTTGCAATTTTTCTTCACAGTAACTATTATCAAATAGAAGCAACGAAGAACACGATCGAGAATTAGGACTCACGTGCCGAAATTTTTCTGCAATCGAGATCCACTCAGGGTGAAGGAGTTGCAACAAATATTTACGATTTTGTAAGTGTTATGTTATTATTGATATTTATCAATTAGACCGCACAATTAGTGATTGAATTGGAATCTCTATAAATTGTAAACTTTTCACAAACATTGCTATATATTTAATATGTACAAAAAAAGAAAATTGTTTTAAGTGCAAACAACTGATCATACCTCGAGATCATAACAAGTTGTGTAAATACACAATTAATTAGTCAACTGAATGCATTTGATTGAAAAGGGCCACCCTGATTCCGAAGGGATCAACAAAGGACGGCTACAAAATCGTATACACCGCATTAATGGACACCGACTCATCTAACTACGTCTTCAACGACACCGTCAAGTATACGTCCATGGTGTGCGACACGGTGTTTCTCACCGAGGGTACGAATGATGGCTACATCTACGTTCTCAACGTGGCAAAACCTTTCATGAAGAATGAGATAATAAACATGGTATATAGATATTCTTAAATAAATAAATAAATTGATTTTACTTTACAATTGCTCGTATTTGCAACAGGAATATGTTTCTTATTTTAACGATTCGCAATATTTTTTCAGTCTCTTCACTTTGATCTCGGGCTAACTGAATTGTCGAGCCTGCCTTTCCGCCCGCCTCGTTCGGTAGCATTTCCACCGGAATAAGTTCATGGTCTCTATGAGCACATGTGTGTGCAGTTAGAGTTCTGCTATTGCTCCAGCCATACAGAACATTCAGCTGCTCCGTACCGAAAGGGATAGTGGACAATATTTGAAGAATATTTTTTAGTGCAATGCATATCTTCATAGATCTCAAAAGTTTCATCGGTTTCTTTTTTTCAAGTAAATTTTCAGGAGTTTGAAGGTGCCGTGCGCATCGTTCCAGCTTGCTCCACCACGCTTATAATTTTTCTGACAAAACTGATGTACAAAGAGATGTAGATAGAGCTTGCAAGCCGTTAAAAAATCGACTTTTCGAAAAAAAATGTAATGTGTTTTACGAACAATATTTTTCTACTTTGTGTGTATTTTTGCGCGTTATTTTTGTGACTAACATACGTATACGGCTATCTTGTATTATAAATTTGAAATGCAAATTTTATCTTGAGAACTATGGAGTGTCAATATTATTGATACATCTAAAGAAGCTATAAATGTAATACAAGTATGTGATATAAGTACTTAATCTTTGACACCGTTCAAAGATTACATATAAACTTATATGTATATTCCCACACAGACATCCATCCGTTCAGACATTCATTAGACATCTGTTAGATGTCGCATGGAGCTGTCGACGTCTAGCAGACGTCTAATGGAGTTTTTGTTCTGTGTGGGTTATTTATATTTATAATTTTTTATACATGTAAAAAACAAAAAAGATATCAAAAGAAAGTATCAAACGATATCAATTTTCTGTATGCACACTCGAGACCATCATAAAGTTACCTGTTTACAAAATAATTTTGTGCAATTCCGTCATTGGAACACAAAAACCATTATTAAATTTTAACACCAGAACACTACTGATGTTGAATATATACCTAGTTTTGCTACATCCGTTAACTTGACAAATATTTGTTGACAGAAAGACAGTGCTTTTATGTTTAATTTGTTTATAAAACAAAAGTTATAATTGAACAAAAACAACATTTAAATCAATAAATTTAAATCATCATTCATCTTCAATTAAAGTAAAAAAATCTGAAAATTGTCAGTTTTACGAGTTTTTGATTCATCTTTAGAATTAAACACTAGTTAAATACTACACGGAAAAAAAAATGATGTTGAATCAACAGTGTCAGTTTAATTCAAATATATCCTGTTGATGCAACATCAATATTAGTGCAATTCTGATCTTGTTCAATTTTAATTACAAATATTATACACAGCAGATAATTGTTTTAAGAATCTAGACATTAAATTAACATTAAATTAACACGTTGACTGCCACGCTACTTTGTAAGAAAATCTCCGTCAGGCCACGCGCGATGCCCTTCAGACTGAAGTTCGAACGCTACAACATCGGCAAGATTGCCCTGATCAATCTCAACTTTGTATGGATTGTTTTAAAACATTGAAATAATTTTTTTTAATAAACGTTTATGACAATTCAATCGTCTCATATTTTGTGAAATAACTTTCGAAATATCTACCAATCTACCTTCTAAGCACTTAAATAAGCGTCACCCGAGTACGGGTGATACGGCGGTCAACGTGTTAATCGCATACGCAATTGAATAAACAATTCATTTTTGTGGCAGCCCGTGACGTCAACTTTGATTAAAGCAACTCCACTTTTTTTTCTGTGTAGTAATTTAAAAAGTCGTAAGAAATACTAAAGATTTTATAGTATATTATTATGTACATATAGTATTTACATATTATATACATTAGTATGTATAATTACAAGGACGTTTCTTCTCCTAACGTATTGACTATGAAGATAATACGAAGCGATTGGTCAGTATAGTTTTGTAAGCTTACGCGGTACGACATAGCAGAGTGTGTTCAGTACTCTGTGATTTTCTACAAAATCTAAACGTTTCGCGCGTTAAACTTAATCTGTTTTCTGAGAAAGTGTTGGTCCGTTTTTAAGAAAAAATTGTGATTAGATTAAAACTCTAAACTTTTCTTTAAACACAAGAGTGTATTTTGGTACGTCAATAGAAGTAAAAAGTTTTTCTTTTTCAAGCTATAAACAATTTATTCATTTTTTTTCTTTTTTTTTTTTTATTGTAGAAATGTCTCTAACAAAATGCGTCACTCTGGAGGAAGAAATGAAGAAGAATCCTGAATTGAAGATGACGGATATAGAGATCCTGAAAGAATGGTGCGAGAAACAGCCGCATCTGCCGAAAATATCGGATCTGCAACTTGCTGTGATGCTGCATAGCAATTATTATCAGATCGAACCGACAAAGAGTACAATCGAAAACTATTTCACCATCAGGACACACGCGCCGGAGTTTTTATTTTCCAACCGAAATCTGATAATAAAAGAATTACGAACTTGTAAAGTTACGTAAGCGTCTTAATTTATGTCTCTAATCTATTTAAAGGAACCATAAATTTATTACGTTATATAGTTAAATATATATATATATATATATATATATATGTATATATATATACACACATATGTTATGTTATAATAATATGTTAGAATAATTTATCTACATGATTTCTGATCTTGTTCAATTTTAATTACGAATATTTGTCTTAGAGTATCTTTTGTTAAAAATTAGAGCACATATTATTATTGGAGAAAAAACAAAAGAGGGTTATACCATGATGTTGTCAAGACTTATCGACTTCGAACCTTCACATTATGACATTGCCAAAGAGACAAATTTCGGTTTGATGATACTAGAGGAACACATTTATACTCAAGGTTTGGTACCTGGATATATCAGCATTATAGATGTCACTGGATTATCGCTCGGACATTTAGGACGATTACATCCAATGATAGTAAAAACAGCTTTAACTTACGTTCAGAATGCTTTTCCATTACGTTTGAAAGCTATTCACTTCCTCAATTCGTCGCCAATACTTCAAACAATATACAACATGTTCAAGTCACTTATCAACGAGGAACTAATGAAATTGGTAAAAGTCACTTGAGATTTTCTTGACAAATATATTGGCTTAACAATTAGAAATGCTTAAATAAAAAAAATCTCGTGAAAAACATTACAATGAATGTCTCTCTCTTTTCTTTTTTCCAGATACATTTCCATTCATCAATGGAGAGTGCGAAAAAATATTTGCCAATAGATGCGCTGCCTAACGAATGCGGTGGAAAAGCTGGTCCTATTGAAGAATTAAGAGAAGTGGGCGTGAAGAAGATCGAGGATTTTCGCGAATGGTTCTTGGAGGACGAAAGAGTCGGCCGGGTGAACGAATCATTACGAATTGGCAAGTCCAAAACTTCCAACGACTTGTTCGGTATGGACGGTAGTTTCAAGAAATTAACAATAGATTAACGAAACAAATGATTTGTGAAGAAAAAACAATATTATAGATTAATAAAAAATCAAAACATCTCTCTTATAATTAACGCGTTATATGTGAATAACAAATATACACTTTAAGAATTACATAAAAAATTAGTAATATGTTGTTACCGAACAATGACCGTAATTCGACTACGAAATATTTTTCTCGTACAAAGCATTATTAAATTTTCTTATTATTCTAATTGTACATACCTTGTAATAATCTACAAAAATATATTTATTTCGTAAAACATCTGTGAGGTTTTTCTGTTGATATTTGCCGAGAATCTGTTTGAGAATACGTTTGCAACTAGAAATCTCGTCGATTAGTCATTTAAGTTGCGTGTATCAATATACGTCACAAAAAAACTCGCGACTAAGTGCCTTTAATAACACGCGTATCTTCGACACGACAATGACGAACGTTGTTTTATACTCACATTAGAATATCTCATTAAGTCATTCTAAGGATACAGAATGATGAATAGATTTGTTGTTGAAGAGCGAATTTTTTTTTATAATGAATACCTTCTTGAATATACATGTATATATTTGATAATTATGCACGAAACAAGGAACGATCGAATCAAAATTGCGATTTTGATGCACGCGTATGCAATATATTTAATGCAATATATATTTTTTGCACAATAAACATTTTGTAGAAATGTTAACTGTAGATATAAATATCTCTCGCACGTATTTTATTAGACCGTTTATAAATAAATGCGAATAAATTGAATGGTAAATCAGTTGAAATAATTTCGACGTTAAATTATTCCTTATATTTAACAATCCTAACCGTTGATACCATTAAATCCGATGGTATCAAGACTACGACGATAAATAGATAATATATGTAAGTTTTTACAAATTTTCTTCTTCCGATGTTGTGTTCATTACATAAGAATCTTCGCGTACGTAAAATAAAAATAATAGAAATTCAAAATCAAATCATAGAATTACAAAGTACGAGATTATAATCTCTTCTTGTTTTTGCTGATCGCATTACTGTGCGGCATTACAATGAATGTAAAACAAAATCTATTTTCGCTTAACCAAACCACTCATCAGTAAAGTAACACGTTTGCGTGCGCTAAACATGTTTGGTTGTCACGCTAGGTATGTGTGTTATCAGCATTTAATTTCAACTCACCAAAAGGTCTCTGTTATGTTTCGACATCGCAATAGATCAGAACGTACGAAGTCGCCAAACGAGTTCTACCACAAGTTCCTTCGATCGCAAAAAAGAGCATAAAAATCAGGGATCTTTTAGAGACCTCTTGTCTCACAAAGAGAATTGACTTCGAAGTCGAACGATGAGTGCGATAAAACTGGTGACATTTGAAGAGGAATTGAAGAAAAATCCCGAACTGAAAGAAACGGATATACAAATGCTGCGAGAATGGAGCGAGAAACAACCTCATTTGCCTAAATTAACAGACAGCGAATTAGCACTGTTTTTGCATAGCAATTATTATCGACTCGAACCAACGAAATCTAGTATCGATACGTTTTTCACCGTTAGAACCCACGTACCTGAATTTTTCTGCAATCGGGATTTCAACAGCAAAGAACTGAAGAAAGCCAGTCAAACAGTGTAAGTTTATTTATTTGACGCAAGTGTGAAAAATATTAAGATAATTTAATTTTAATTTGTCTTCAACTTGAATGTTGAAGACAAAATTATTATTAATCCAGTGAAATGAGATTCAATATCCAAGATAAAATAATGAATTCAGATAGGCCAATGGGAGCATGAACATGATTGTCTTGTGTTGATAAATTTATTGATTATGAAAAGTTGATATTAAACAAGATGAGAGGCAGTTGAAGCAAGACACGGATGTTGTTGTGCAAACACGTGAAGATGATTTTTTTTATTTCAAGATGTAATGTGTATGTATAATGTGATAACGTTTCGTACATCAGTAATTGACAGCTCACGTGTTAACATGTGTCCATCTCGTTACACGACGACTTTAATAACAGCATATTACTAAAGATTTTGATAAAGACCTAAACCGTTGGTCGAAACGTTATCACATTATACATACACATTACATCTTGAAATAAAAATCATCTTCACGTGTTTGCACAACAACATCCGTGTCTTGCTTCAACTGCCTCCCATCTGGTTTTTTTTTTAATCTTTGGAGCTTTTTGTCTTTTCTTTTATTTATTGATATTAAAAGTTTAGATGCCGGTCCTTGTCAATGATGTCGGTTGAAATTCAAATATGTGTGTTGTGCAAATGTAAGAACTTTATTAAAACAATAAACCGCAAAGGTAAACAACCGTGGTTACAAATAATATATAATAATATAATATAAACGTTTCGACTCTACTTGAGTCATCTTCTGCTGTGTGATTGTGTGGTGACTTATTAAGTATCTTTCTCACTTTATTCCGTTGACTGTTTTAGGACGGAAATTTATTCAAGTAAGAACTTGTTTCTTCTCTCTTTTTTTATCAAGAATACCAATGCATTCAAAAGTTCAAAGGATTATTTTGTGACTTATTTTTTGTTTTTGATGTACTGAAGATGACTCAAGTAGAGTCGAAACGTTTATATTATATTATTATATATTATTTGTAACCACGGTTGTTTACCTTTGCGGTTTATTGTTTTAATAAAGTTCTTACATTTGCTCGTTATTGAGACCTGTTATTTATCTTTTAATATTGTTTATATTGCGAGCGTTTTTTATGTTCATTATGTGTGTTGTGGTTCTGGTAGTCAAAGTCAGATTAACGACAATGAGTAAAGTTACACGTGGTTAATTTTAATATTTATACAAATCGTCATGATTGCAATATCAATAAAATAAATAAATAAATAAATAGCCAGTCCTGACAACGTAAAGTCATGTGTACCGAATTACCAGTATTTGTAAAGTAAGATAGTTCAAAATTATTTATTTATTTTATTGTATTGATATTACAATCATGACTATTTATATAAATTTCAAAATTAACCACGTGTAATTTCACACATCGCCGGTCGAAACCGATTGACGTCAACTTTCCATCGATCCAAATAAATTTATCAATACAAAGACAACCGTGTTTGTGCTCTCCCATTGAGGCCTATCTGAATTCATAAAATTATCACTATTACTTTGTCGCGGTTTAACGCAAAATCGAAAAGTGGCGATAATTTGTCTCAGATCACAAAAACTGTGTAAAAAACTAACGATTTTATATTGTCGATAGAACGGATCAGATTTTGGAAGGAACAACCAAAGAGGGTTATAAAATCATTTATGGACGACTGTTGGACAGCGACGCGTCGAATTTCGTTTACAACGACGTCATGAAAATACTTAACATGGTGATTGACTTGTGGCTCTACACGGAGGGTACCTGCGACGGTCACATAATATTGTTCGACATGAAGAACGTCTCGTTTGGTCACGTCGGCCGTCTGAGTCCCATGGGTCTGAAAAAGTTTCTCTATTATCTGCAGGACGGATTGCCTGTCAGACTGAAGGGCTTTCACTTTATGAACGCTTCCCCGGTGATAGACGTCATTCTGAATATGATGAGACCGTTTATGAAGAAGCAGCTGATGGATATGGTGAGCGTGACGCACATTGTTCTTTTAAATTTAACACTACTGATTGTAATAATGTGCACTTTAATATATACAATTTTTACTAAATGAAACATGAATCTCAGCTTCATATGCACACCACAAACGACACGCTGGAGAAGTTCGTGCCACTCGAGATTCTGCCAAATGAAGCGGGCGGTAAGGCCGGTCCGATAAAGGAGCTGCATGAGAAGCAGATGAAAAAACTGGAAGAAGCTATCTCCTGGTTCCAAGAGGACGAGGCCAATCATCGCGTCAACGAGTCGCTGCGACCCGGCAAGGCAAAGTCAGCGACGGACTTGTTCGGCGTCGAGGGAAGTTTCAAGAAGCTCGAAATCGATTGAGCACGCAATCCACAAGATTGTTATTCTCGGATATACAGTTCTTGAAGATCGAAAAAAAAAAACAACAATTTATCCTCACATATTTAATAAACCAAATAATTTCTTTAATATAAATATTTAAAACGACGTTATTGCACCTGTAGTGGTCAAAGAAGAGAAGAATAGAATGCTAGAAAATAATTAAAAATATATATATATTACACACACACACACACACACACACATACAATTACGCACAGGAATGTTATCTTCAAAACGTAATTCACGAGCCGCGTGAAACAAGTTACTGATTGCGCGGTATATCCAACGTTATTTTAATAAAAAAACAATATATTTATTACAAAATCGAAATTTGTCTTTAGCGCAGAGACCTCTCCTCTTATGAAAATATTATACATCAAGTTGAAGACAAAAAAATTGGTAAAATTATGTTAATTTTTTTTTCTACTCATGGCAGAAATGATTATTATAAACGATCGTTTTTTTTTTTTTTATCGTCTAAAGTGATAAAGTGCTTTATTTCACTTCTCAAAACAAAAAGTGTCTTAACAAGAAGCAACTTTTTGTTTTCATCAATCGTGTCATACGTTTTATTATAATTGATCGTTGCCTTGAATTGTATGAACAGTATGTAAATATAATATGCAAAGTTGTTCGTTATGAATTATACGAATAATTATGCGAGGTTGCATCAGTGTGTAGCAAGCTTAAGAAAACACCACCTCTTTTTCGAAAGTATCTTATACTTTCACCACATCGAGAGTCATCCTTTCAGTAAGCGACAATACGCTCGTGTGAATATATCGACGAAATAATCCGGACTTCCTACTCACGTAATGAGACGCATAATCGTAAGTATGCGATAATAAATTTTGTATCATGATATAAATTTCTTAATGATCTATCTGTTGTGCTATAAAATTATTTCTAAATACTGTTGTTATAAAAATCTTCTCAAATAAAATATATATAATCTCGAGTTACTTATTACACAGATCGACAGATGTCGTTTATTACGGAAAAAAATTATGTTGCGCAAATGATCTTTTTGCTCAACTATTTTGCGCGTTGCCAACATGATAATATTGCTATTTGTCTTATTTTTCAAGGAAAACAGCTAAATTAAAGAAAAAATAAAGAGCATTAATTCGCACTAGAGTGTGAAGTTCAATCAAAAAAAGATAAAAGATTGGAGAATAAATCAATTTCTATAAATAAGCGTCTCTCGAAGAATAATGGCTGCCAATTATAAATAAACTGATTTTGCCACTGTTGCTTTTGAAATTTTTTATCGATGTTCAAAGATCATCTACCGTGCATTTAATCGTATAATAAAATGCAAACTTTGATTCTATCTCATCAAATTTTGAATTCAATTTTAACTTATAATTAGAATTTCGCAATTAGAAAATTTTCGTTCTATACATTATTAATCACAGATTTAATTAAATTAATTATCAAAATATTCTTATACTTCATTGAGTATTGAAACTTAGATCATCGGCGTTTTGATTAATATTTGTCTGGGAGATGTATCGCACATTCTACCTGAGTACTCAACGACGACACCGTCACCATCACCTCCGAGACCGTACAACTTCCAGTACAAGGCTGGACGATATGCTGGACATATCGACCGTGTTCATCAAGAAGCCGGAGATGGAACTGGAATTATTCACGGTAATTACAATCAGAAACGAAAACAATATACAAAATCTTTTAATTATTTTTGTATTCTGTAGATCTGCTTCATTAGAAATTAAATCCTATCGTTAATTCGAATCTTTATAATATATTCTGACAATTTTTACCAAAATATATATACTTCCCATCTCGCAGGAGTCTATTCGTACGTCGACCCAAAGTACAAAGTGCGAACGGTAGAATACACGGCCGATAAGAACGGATTTCATCCCGCTTTGATCAATTTCGAGGACACTTTCGCTCAACCTGTCGACTCGGAAGCCGTAAGGCTCGCCAAGGAAAGGCACTTTCGTCTTTACCACAGAATTGCGGAAGCTAACGCTCACAACGTTCCAGCAAATCTTCCCCGGGTAGTAAACTTGAAGCTTGGTTTTACTTGTAGCGTCAACGTACCACATCAAGAAACATCTCGTTAAACAAAATCGTGATTTACGTTCGAGTGTTTTCGTTTGTTTTTGTTATTTTGCTTTAATTGCTCCGCAGGACTCAGCGAGCGTGGCGCAAGCGAAGGACAGACACAATGAGCTTTACCACAGAATCGCGGAACAACACGCGGCGATCGCCGCACAGAGAGAAGCCGAACGACTGGCTTACGAGGCAACTTCCGTTGCTAATGACGTGGATGATCATCATCGACAACGTTAGAACGCAATTATTTCCGCACGTGTTGGCATGACGACCATCATATCGCATCACACGTGTGACTTTAAAACGACATTTACTCGTCACGGTTTTCTTATCAAGTGTTGTCATTCGAGCGATGCAATATCGCTTGTTCGGCTACATAAAGGATTTGTTCGCTAGTCCACAATAACATGGGAATGCGATATATGAGATAATAACACAGCTGTGTGCTTTGATTTTATAATCAAGTCTGACGCGCATCTGATAACAAAATATTTAATAACTTACTTAAGATGTTTTCCACATTTGCAAAGTAAAGTAATATTAGAAAGTAACATTATTAAGTTCACGCAGTAATAAAACAATCTCAACAAAAATTATAATACAAAAAGACACAAAATTAATTCTCACAAATCTTTATCTCTTAATCTGTATTGAAAACTTCGAGCAATATGATTTTTCTTAAAATAAATACTTGCAAACTTTTATGTGACTTTTCCTATCAATATTTGACATAAATAAATAAGTATTTGCGTATGATTATTGTATCGTTACACAAAATTAGAATTATAATGAAACTGAAGGACTTAACACAATAACCCCGAAAATAGCGTAAATTTATAACTAGTAAAGTCGTTATTTAATATTAATATATATCATGTATTCTTCTATCTCATATTATAAAATCTGTTGAACATTCAACTGAATGTTCATCTGATATAATTTTAACGCATTGTGTCGCTTTTTTGGAACTTGTTTCTCATGCGATTTACGTAATTATGAAGAGAATCGAGTTGTCGTTGATTTCTTTAATGCCGGAAATGTCGTCGCGCAAATCATTTTCGATGAAAGATAAATAACACAATTGCGTTGCAATAATATAAAAACGGCTATGGCACTGTACACGAGTTGTTAGTAGGAGCATACGTTTTGACGAAAAATGAAGCTCTTCGGCAAACTGTTCTGTTTCTTTCTCATGTGCATCATGGTGAGTATATAACTATTGACAATTAATTGGTAATTATGTTTCATAATAATATGACTTGCATAATGTATGAGCGCTATGTGTGTTTCTACAGACAAAAAGTTAAAAAAAAATAAAACACGAAGAAACAACAATAGAAAAATATGAAATACATGCAGAGTCAAAAGTGTTCAGAAAACAATTCAGAGCTTTGCTCTTTTATTTTCTCTTTCAACTTTTGTATTCTGTACATATCAAAGTAGTTATAATCAAGTATAGTCCGTATATATCGAGAAGTTTAGTTATTTTCCACAAAGAACAAAAACTATCTATAGACATCCTACTAAATATCGCATAGAGCTGTTGACGTCTAATAGATGTGTAATGAAGGTCTTGTTCTGTGTGGTATAAATTACTTTTGATGTTATAAGTACGTCTATATAAGTGCTTGGAATAAAAAAGGAATTATTTGAAACACGCAATTGTTTTATATTAACATAAAAAAACATTAACATGAAAATTTTGAGAAAGCACACATATTAGTTGTTACCTCTTTCCTCAGGCAATGATGTGCTTAACCGTCGGAAGTCATCCTTCCGCTGAAGGACAACATAAATTGAGACAATCACCATCACTAGGATCACCACCACAAGGACCACCACGAGGACCACCACCACAAGGACCACCACCGTCAGGGCCACCACCGTCAGGGTCACCACCGTCAGGGTCACCACCAGACTCATCATCATCAAACTCTACATCAGGATCCTATTCATAGGCAGAACTTTACAAAATAGGTAAAATATAACTTTAGCGACAATCGGCTCGTATGCACACACGCTTTACAATTTACTTTTCGGCTTTTTTTATTTACCAACTTCTATTGCACAAAACTATTTTTGTTGCATTGTGTGATCGCTTTATAGAATTAAATTTACTTACCGAAATACTTCAACCAAAACGCGCTGATGCACAATCGAACATCATATCGAGCTGCGTTCAAAAATTTGTCGCGTGATGTAACGCAAGTTATCGAGAATCGAGATCTCGACGCCATAACGATCGATTGGCAAGTAAATGCCACTCTAGACGACGAGTACACAGTCTCGCGATTCTTTTTCATTGTATTTAAATTTGAACTGAATAATTTTTGATCTGAAAAATTATAATTATGTTAACAAGTCAACTTGAACCACCATATAACACATTTAATGTAACAATTTTACATATTATAAAATATTTATATAATAAAAAATCTAATCTGTATACTAATTTATATATATATATTACTGTTTCAGAAAGCAAGCAGCAGGTGAAACAAATATTTTGCAGTTTTCCGGACGGATATAAAAATTGCAAACGTCATAGAAGAGATGTAAAATTGTTATCTTTTGTGACCAACGGACTTCACTATTGTCTGCATAAAACATTGTTATGTATTAGCATTCAAGACACTTTGATAAGACACGAGCAAATTAATATTGTAATTAAAAATTTTATATTTGTTATTGTTCGCGGTATTATCTAATTTTAACGATGTTGCTTAAAAATATGTACATTATATATCAAATCCAATAAAAACGCAGCATACAAAATGTTTCAATGTCTATTACAAACCTGGCAGTCGTAATCGCAGTTTTTTTATTCATAATTTTTTATATAACAATGCATAACATTATTTTGCTTTTATACCGATAAGTTAGTATGTCCCTTCTCTTCTCGCGCGTAATTATGTATAATAGTACATCAATAAAAAAAAAAAGAAAATATTAAAAGTATCAAATGACATCTCTGTACACATATTTGTTATTGTCTGTATATTACATTTTATAGCTCAATCCTTTTAATTACCTACTTTGTATGTACAATGCTTACATCTAATAGTCGCGTAAAACTCTACAGAAAAAAACCCATGAAAAATATTAAATAATTGCACGTGTGTAAAAAACTTGCGGAGATTAGTGTTGTGCTAATTATCTCGAGAAAAACTGTTTTTATACGAAAAAAAAGAATTAATATTAAAACATATAATAATATAAAATAACAAAATAATATATATAAACTGCACGTATTGACAACTTTAAATTAAAATTGACGTAAAAGTTTTTTTCTTTGTTGCAATTACGTCGATATCTATAGTTTTTTAGGTAATCGTCTCATTTCCCCGACAGTCATGCATTTGTTTTTTTATTTGACAGCAATCATTACGCAAATAACAATCGATGTATGTTTATTTTATTACAGGTTTTTGTCTTTGTATTAAAGACTACATAATTTCAAGAAACGTTTTAATTTAGAGTTTAGTTAATTGAAAAATATCATATCTTGCTCATATTCGCATATTAAAAATGCATGTATACCGCATGGAATTATTGTTCGTGAAAGACCGCACATCGTGTATTGACAGCGAATCATTCTGAATAGCGTCAGTATAAGTAAATTGCAGAAATTGCTGTGTTACAAATTTGTGAAAAACTAGATTAAGATACTCATCGTTACATTCTTGCGCAATATATGTTCCAATTTTTTTTTTTACAAATTAAAGACGAAGATCTATATATGCCTCCATTTGTGTAACACACACATATCTAATACATTTCGCAGAAATAATTGTTAAAAATCATGATTCACTTCTCTTTCAAACGGTAATCTATCTGATATAATATTTTTTTAACAAGCTTATTTCTTCAACACAATATAAAATAGTTGTTTTTATGTTTAAATCTGCTTATAAGAAATGAAATCTTATCGTTAATTCTCTCGGATTTTTACAATATTCTGATAATTTGTGTGCGCAAATATATACATCTCTTTTGAGAGTTTATTTTCGTACGTTGATCAAAAATACAAAGTGCGAACGGTGAAATAGAGCCGATAAGAACGAATTTCATTCCGCTTCGATCAACTTTGCTGACTCAAAAGCAGTAAAAGCTCGCTAAGAAAAAGCATTTTTGTTTTTATCGCAGAATTGTTGGAAACAAACGCTCACAACATTCCGCTCGCAAATTTCCTCTGGATAGTAAACTTGAAGATTATTTTTACTTGTAATAACAATTTGCACACATGTTAGGAAATAACTCGTTAAAAATCACACTCGTGATTCGTGTTTTTGTTTTGTTCTTGTTTTTAATTGCCTCGCAAATACAATGAGATTTTTATCACAGAATCGCGGTAAAACATGCAGCGATCGCCGCGCAGAGAAAAGCCGAAGTGGTTTACGAGACGACTTCCTTTGTTTAACGACGTAAATAGATTCATCATCGGTCACCTTAAAGCGCAAGTTTTTACGCACGTCGCGTGACAATCACGATCATATCGCGCATATGTGACTTTAAAATGACATTTATGGCTTTTTTGCCAAGTATTGTCGAATAATGCAAATTCGCTCGTTTGTCTATATATGTCAGAATGTTTTTGCTTTTCACAATAATATGAGAATGCAAATAACACAACTTGTCTGCTTTAATAAGTCTTTGTGATTCTCAAGTCTTGCGCGCATCTGATAACAAAATATTTAATAATGTATTTAAAATATTTTATATTACATCTGCGAAGCAATAATATTAGAAAAAAAAACAAAAGATAAATAAAGATATAAAAAATGTGAAATTAAGTCTCACAAATCTTTATCTCTTCGTATAAAAAAAAACTCAAGCAATATGATTCTTTCTTAAAATAAATACTTGCAATTCTTCAATGTGACTTCGTTCGCTCAACATTTGATAACAATAAGTACATATTTACGTATGATTATTGTTATACAAAATTAGAACTAATGAAAATAGCAGATTTAACACAATAATCGGAAATAGCAAATAGTAAATTTACAATTGTAATGTGTTATTTAAAACACTAGTACGTATTGTGTATTTTTTATCTCGTGAGAAATCACTATTAAATCGATCAAATATTTAACACGGAATGTTTGTTTGATATAATTGTAACATATTGTGTCACTTTTTTAAGAATTTGTTTTTCATGCAATTTATGTAATTACGCAAGAATCGAGTTGTCGTTGATTTTTAAATGCCGGAAATGTCAGTCCGCAAATAATTTTCGATGAAAGATAAACAACACAATCGCATTGCAATAATATAAAAACGGCTATGGTGCTGTGCACGAGTTGTTAGTACGAGCGTACGTTTCGACGTAAAAGAAAAAAAAATGAAGCTCTTCAGCAGACTGTTCTGTTTCTTTCTGATGTGCATCGTAGTGAGTATATAACTATTCACAATTAATTGATGAATATATTTCATATTCATCAATATATGACTTGCATAATGTATGAGCTATGTGTGTTTCTGACAGACAAAAAGTTAAAAAAAAAATTAAAACACGAAGAAACAACAATAAAACAAACATGAAGTACATGTAAACAGACTCGAAATTGTTCAAAAAAGAACTCAGCTTTGCTCTTCTGTATTCTCTTTCGAGTCTTTTTTTGTATATGTATAATAGTTAGTTATTATAAATTACTTTTTTGATATACGTTGTGTGTATAAGTACTTGGAACAAAAAGGAATTATTTGAAATACGCGATTGTGTTTTATGTTAACATAAAAAAAAAAACATTATCATGTAATTATGAAAATCTTGAGAGAATATTTATTAGTTGTCATTTATCTTTCCCTTAGGCAACGATGTGCATGACTGTCGGAAGTCATTCTTCTGGTGGGATTGAAGGACAGCGAAAAGTAGCTTGTGGAAGAGGAAGACGACCACCAACAACAACACCAGCAACAACAACAACCGGATCATAAATAAAATTTTACAAAATAGGTGAGATCTTAAGTGATGATCGACTCGTACGTATACGCGTTTTAATTTTCGACTTTTTGTTTTATTAGCTTCTATCGGCGCTTGATTATTTTTTTTTTTTTTGCGTTGTAATTGCTTTAGAAATTGAATTTTCTTATTGAAATAACAATCCAAACAAGGCGCACAGCACCAATCAGACGCCATACTGGACTATGCTTCAAAATTTGTCGCGTGAAGTACTTAAAAATTAAGTGGAAGAATCGAGAATCGAGAGATCGACGCCATAACAATCGATTAGCTAGTCAAACGCCTTACTTTATCCGACAAGTATTTGTGAGTTCAAAGAGAAAAAGGACTTCCTGCGCATAATAGAAGAAAAACGGACAAAGTGGACAACATTGCACGCGGAATTGGCGAGACATTGCCTACTCGTTGGCAGCCAATGACTGTAAACTAAGAAAGATTTTGGTAAAAAAGATTTGCAAAACACACAGGTAAAAATTCGCTACCTTCTCTCTCTGAACTCAGTGTGGAGCTTCAAACTGGATTTTTGCATTCGATTGTTATGATGATCGATCTCTCGATTCTCGATTGTTTCGCGATTTTTTTCGTCGTATTTAAATTTGAACTGAAAATACTCTTTGATTTTTCTGGAAAATTATAAATTATGTTAACAATTGAAATTTTAAGCATATAACATATTCAATATAAAAATATCTTACATATTAATTAGAAAAATATTCATATAATAAACAACCTAAATTGATTTAAACATATATCACTGTTTTAGAAGGCAAGCCGCGGATGAAATTAATCTCCAGTTCTCCAGGCGGATATAAAAATTGCAAACGTCGTAGAAGAAATGTAAAATTATTATCTTTTGTGACCTTTAAATGACTTCACTATTTTGATCCGCGTATAAATATTGTTACGTATCAAAATTCAAGACACCTTGATATGCGAGCAAATTAATATTGGAATTAAAAATTTTGTATTTGTTACACAGTTCGCGACATCATCTAATTTTATCGATGTTGCTTTGATGTATATTTCAAACGTTACACGAGTCGTAATAAAGACGCAACATACAAAGTGTTTCAATGTTTATTATATAATCCTGGCAGTCGTTGTATTATTCGCAATATTTTTGACTCATACATGTTTCTTATACAACAATGCATAATATTACGTTACTTACAATTCTAGTCTTAATATGTCCTTAGTTCTCGCGCGTAATTATATATCGTACATCGATACTTACACAAGAGAAAAGGAAAAACATTGAAATTGCCAAATGATACCTCTGTACAGACACACATCTGTTATTGTCTATCCTATATATTACATTTTATTGCTCTCCGCTCTCTCGTTTTAATCGCCTATACTTCTTATATACAATGGCTACATGTAATAGTCGTAAAAATCTATAGGAAAAAACCTATAAAAAAAAAAAAAATAAACATAATCGCAGGTGTGTAAAGAACTTGCAGAGATTCAAATTGTGCTAAATATTTCGAAAAAAAAAAAAACTGTTTTTACGCGAAAAAGGAATTAATATTAAAATATACAAAAAATATATATAAATTGCATGTAACGATTTACTAATAACAATTTTCTTATTAAAAATTGTAATTAATACGACATACAAATTTTTTTCTTTGTTACAATTGTCGATATGCAGTTGTTTTGTTTTTTTGTTCCTATTTTCCCGACAGTCATGCACTTGGTTTTTACTCGACAGCAAATGAATTGCAATAAGAAACAAAATTGTTTCGCGCATTATACATATGTATGTATGCTTATCACAGTTTTTTGTCTTTGCATTAAAGACTACGAAATTTCACGAAACGTTAATTAAGAAATGTTTTTTTATACGCGCTCGAATACTCGCATATTAAAAACGTATACTGCATGGAATTGTTGTTCGTGAAAGATCGCACGTGTGCTGACAGGAAATCATTCTAAATAGCGTCAGTATACTTATATTGCAGAAAAACTATAAAATACTTGGCGTTTCATTATTGCGCAGCTTATGATTCAACCACACAAATTAACGTTGAAGATTCATATATGTCATTTGTGTAACATGCAGCTGCAGAAATAATTGTTAATATCATGATACTTTTCTTCAAGAAAGTAATCTCTCTGATATGACTTATTTAGAAGCTTATTTTTTCAGCAAATGTAACATGTCCTTATTTTGTTGCTGCAACAGTATATCCGCTTTATCGGTTTTATCGGTGATATTGTCGATCAGATCGTTTTGCAAATCTATCTCTTCGGACAAACCGATCGCCAGATTTTTCAATTTCGCCAACGATCCGCTCATCTCATTCAGATTCTGTTCGAGGGCTCTGGTCACTCTGTCGCTAGCTGGTCTAGTGTCTTCCACATGATTGTCATCAAAATTGTCTCGTATCTTTGGCGACGAATAGGAATTGCTCATGTTATTCTGCACTTGTTCCAGCGTGTTGGACAGCGCGGGAGACGTTACGGATCCGGAACTTGATGATTCGGACAATTTAGTCGATGGTATCGGAGCATCCAGAGATTTTCCACTGAGATAGTTCTTTAAACTACCAAATACACTTTTTATGCCTTGTATATGTTTCTGACTAAATCTTAATGTACTGTTGATATCATCTAGTCTCTTCTCCGTTCTCTGTAACTGTTCTCTTTGTCTAATCAATTCCTGAAATCAAATTTGCTTGCAAATTTCTGATTTGTATTAATGACAATGCAGATACCTGAGAAAATTAACTTTGCCAAATATTTACTATGTATTATTATTACATATATAGTCAACCTTGAATAAACATTTTTTGTGAGAATTCTTTTGTGTTTGAACTGTTTTTGAAAATCAATTAAAAATAAATGAAATGAATGTTATTAAAAGTAAATTTAAAATAATCACTTATATATATATATATATATAGGTCAAGTAACTTAGAACTAGAAATATTGAAAAAAAGATAAAGCTAATCTTCTTATATTTCCATAAGTTTTTCTTCTCTTTCTTTAAAAAAAAAAACCTTCACAAAATCTCTTTGGAGATTTTCAGATTTCTTTGAACAAAGATATTTTTGATTATAAAACTCAGCCACACAAATTGATACATTGTCTTCATAAGATTTTCAGATCCAAGATACGTAACAAAAAGAGCATATTATTCAGCATAAAAAATTGTTTTTTTCCATCAAGGTTGAAAATGTTATCAGCATGCTTGCGACATTATACAGAACTGATATGATCGTTACTATTACCTCAGCTGTAGCCACACCAATTTGCTCAGAGTCTCTCAGAAGGGAGACAGATCTCTCTGAGGATTTTATCGTTCGGTCCTCTATTTCTTTCCTACGTTCCAACAATTGCTGACGCTGTTGCGTCAAGTCATTGTTGTAATTCTGATAACGTCCCGCTGGCTGATTTCTCGCTGGCGCGTTCTTTAGAAACGTCTCATCGTCCACGTCGTCCTCCAACGAGAAGAACGGGTTTTTCGGATCGCTCAGATAATTGTGAGCCGCCATTTATCGTACGAAAATTTGGAAATGTGTCCTCCTGTCTTAGCTGTGTATCTTACGTTAAGTTGTGAAAATTTACTCCGAAAATATTCGCCTGCTGCGTTTGTTTTTTGACACTTTGTTCTTTGCAAAGGCGTATTACATATGTCACAAGATAACGTTCCGAAACTGCGCATGCGATTTCTGATAACACCAGTCGTGCTAATTGGTTCTTAGGAAATGATGATTCATAGGGAATTTACGAGCGATTATTATTCGCACAGTTCCGATCTTAAGCCCGTTCTCACATTAAGTGCAAGACTCAAACGCAAAATGCAGATCTCATGGAATTGACCAATCGCATTATTTAGTCAAGTCAGCCAATTGACTAAAGCCTGTTCCTATATTGATCGCAAGCACAAACGAAAGGAACAGGTCTGATAGAATTGACTAATCGTATTGATCAAATCAGCCAATTGACCAGCGTGATTGATCAATTCTACGAGATCTATATCTTGCGTTTGCGCTTGCAATCAATGTGGAACGGGCTAAAAACGGGCATGGTCAAATCCACGACACCACCTATCCAAAATTATGTCAGAGAGAAGACTTAGGCTGGATCCTCATTGATCCTCATGCAGACACCGGCGCTTTGACATCGAGCGTTGATTGGTGAAAAGCGGATGGTGACGTTAAACGGCAGCTCTAATTTACCCTCACCACCTGCTTTTCACCAATCAACGTTCGGTGTCAAAGCGCCGGTGTCTGCATGAGGATCCAGCCTGAGAGCGGCCTATAAGAAAATGTAATCGCTTTTCCGCTTTGTAAGGCCTGGTTTATGCGGGCCTAAGATTTTAATATTTCTGTTTATTAACGGAAGCATAACAGAATATAACAGAAGCATTGAAATCTTATAGTTGAACTGTACCAATTCCGGGATAAATTAACAGTTATTACCCGCATAAACAAGGCCAAAACAAGGCCTTATTTGCCCGCATAAACCAGGCCTAAGCCAGCACAATGTCCATGAGTGGTGCACATTGTCAACTACGTAGCCATGTCCACGAATGACTTGTCGGTACGTACGTTATGTTCAAACGTGGTTCTATTCCGTGCAGTGTGCACGAGTCTACACAAGTGTAGAGTCGACACTTGTCTCTAGCCGCTTTCAGTCTTCTCTCTGCTTTTTAGATAGAGTTATCGAGAAATTATTTAGAAATAAAAAAATTGAGCCAGAATATTCCGGCAAAATGTAAGAGAAAATAAATTAAGGTCTAAGATCTTATCGTTTTTTGATACTTGCATTCGATTGGGCTATAAGGATACTCTAGGGAAAACTCTAATCGGCGGTCAATCGCGTGCTTGAAAACCAGAGCAAACGTGATGACCAATTCGCTCTCCGTTTTGGCATTCGCAGTTCTCGGAAAAGCGAGAAGTTGATTGCACACATTTCTACATATCTTCTTCTTCTTCTTCTTCTTCGCTTATACGGCGCACGCTCCTTTCACAAGAGGAAGGAGCAAAAGCCAGACCGTTTTCACATATCGTCGATTTAGATACTGAGACGTACAACAACTAGAAGATAGTCAAACCGCTTGAGAATAATGTCGCATTTTCAACTCAAATTGCAAAATCTATTTCGTCTCTCCTTTGAAAAAAGTAAACAAAAATCGCATCAGTTAGTTCGGTTTGAAATTGCAATGAGAATAATTGCGCGATACAAAGTATCTCTTATCGTCAGATCATCGAAATTCCATCAAAATTTCGACCGTCTCCGAAACGAGATTTTTGTTACGTCAAAAGGAAACGCACGTGTTTGCGTGACGTCGACGATGCCGCTTCTCTGACGTCACGTTAAATCGCCGTTCGTCGCTCGCACCCGATTGGTCCGAATTCCGACGTAGGGCCAATCGTCGTCGCGGATACGTCCGCAATGGTCGTGTAAACTTTTTTCGGCCATCTTGTTGTTATTTTCGAAAATCTCGAGGAGGTTGGATTTTGACGAGACGCAGTAGTAGGTGCAAAACGGCGCCTTTCGGCAACACGTTGTTCTTCGTAAGACCGGCGATCAAAAAAGACGCGGCTCGCATGAGGTTACGAGCACGAGGTTACGACAAAGAGCGGTCACGGTGGGTATCGGGAGTGATTGTGCGACACTTGCACGTAGCTTCGACCTCTTCTCGCTAGTGTGACCGTCGTCGCAAGAGCATCGATGGCAGAAAAGGGAGAGACGGGAGGAATATAACGCGTTGAGATAAACGGGAGTGAGAGAAAAAGAGAAAGATTGTATGTGAGCAAGAGAGAGAGAGAAAAAGAGAGAGAAAGAGAGAGTGAGCGAGAGAGCGAGCGAGAGAGCGCTTGGCGCGGAAGAGAGGGAGAGAAGGGGAAAGAAAGAGAGAGAGAGAGAGAGAGAGAGATGCAGTGAAGAATGACGAGTGTATGAAAGTACGAAATCTTGTCGTGGTGCGCGGGAACCAGCACGTCGTGGTGTTTGATCCCTTTTATGCATGGTAATTTGCGTCGAAGTATTTTAATCGTCGGTGTGAACGGTGTGCTTTTTTTTTACTTCTCGAACGGAGAGTACGTTTATGAGTGTGAAATACGGTAAGTTGGCGGGTTGATCATCGCGCGGCACCTCGCGCTCGTGAGCCTATCGTTTTCCAACGACGACGCAACCGTCGCGGATCCTTCGGCACGCACCGCTCGCGAAAACGTTTTGACGAAAATCGCGACGGGATCGCGCAATTCCGCCAAACGCGCCGTCACGTTTCGCGCGTTCCCCGTCAAATCGCGCCGTTTCCCGGTCGCGTTGTTTGTTTTCCCCCCGTGTTAGAATCCCGCATCCCGAACTCGCAACATAACCTTGCTTCCTATTGTCAAATGTAGGTTAGATCGAGAGCGGCCCGCGCGGATCGCTGACCTTTTCTTCGGTCGCGTTAAAAAACAATCTTTCGTTTGCGGTTAAGAATCGCGTTCGTTTCCGTCCGATGCCTTTTGATGTCGCGATTCCATTCGTTTTTCGCAACGACGCGGACACGTGCGTCGAAGTTTTGAAAGAGAGAGAGAGAGAGGAAGCGAGAGAGAGAGAGAGAGCGAGCACGCGGCTCCGTGTAACATTTTATTTTTCCCCAAAGAGTACGTACCGCTTAATTTCTTTATTCATCGTCACGCGTTTTTTTTATACACGATCTCGAGATTTGTTTCCAATCCAAAGTGTCGATTTAAAGAACAACAAGATAAAGTTAGCGCTTGAGTTATACAAAGAGAGAAATTGGGTGCAACGAAATTCACTCTATTGTGTTTATTTTAGGGTACACGCATGTATATATATAGACTGTATCTTTGTTTGCATTGGTCATAAGTATATTTTCAATGTTAAAGTTTTTAGATCACAAATAAACTTAACATATATCAGTCTTGTATTCAGAACTTCGAACATGTACACTCATGATCAATCCGATTCTCCAAAAAATGATCTATTGTTGGAACTAACAAGTTTGTATGTTTGTTTTTCTCATCTAGAAGATAAGACGTAATTGCGATACATACAATGGCAACTTTGGCCGAGCAAGCATCTAAATTATTGGACTTCAATCAGAAATTAGATATAACGCTTCTTGACAATATAGTAGGATGTATGTATACCGGTATAGGAGAGCAACAGAGAGTTGCTCAAGAAGTATTAACAACTCTTAAAGAACATCCAAATGCTTGGACACGAGTAGACACTATTTTAGAATATTCACAGGTAAAAATTTATATTGCAACAAAGCAATTTTGTTTCTTTATTAGTGTTCCCACATGTGCGTGTAAGTAACGTTGTCACATTTTTGCATAGAATCAACAAACAAAATATTATGGCTTGCAAATACTGGAGCAAGTAATAAAGACAAGATGGAAAGTATTACCACGAAATCAATGTGAGGGTATAAAAAAATATATCGTAGGCCTTATCATAAAAACAAGCAGCGATCCTGAGACAATGGAAACTTCAAAAGTCTATCTTAACAAGCTAAATATGATCCTCGTTCAAGTAAGTAACTCAAATGTAATGTATGTCTTTTGTAAAAAAACATTGGTAATTTAGTTATTTATTTTTTTTATGCACACTGTTTCTCTGTTAGGTATTAAAACGCGAGTGGCCAAAAAACTGGGAGTCTTTTATCAGTGACATTGTGGGCGCCAGTAAAACTAACGAAAGTCTATGTCAAAATAATATGGCGATTTTGAAATTACTATCAGAAGAAGTGTTTGACTTTTCTAGTGGTCAAATGACACAAACAAAGGCGAAACATCTTAAGGACACTATGTGCAGCGAATTTTCACAGATATTCCAGCTCTGTCAATTTGTAATGGAAAACTCTCAAAATGTACCATTGGTAGCAGTCACGTTGGAGACGCTACTGAGATTTTTAAATTGGATACCACTCGGTTACATCTTTGAAACAAAATTAATAACCACCTTAATATTTAAGGTAGTAGGACATTTTTCTTGTTTTTTTTGTCATATTAAACAAATCTCCGTTCCGTATCAATCATCACTTTTTAACAATTGTGGTTCTCTAATTTGCAGTTCTTGAATGTACCAATATTTCGGAATGTGACTTTGAAGTGTCTCACTGAGATAGCAGCGGTTTCCTCAACTGTTCCGAATTATGACGACATGTTCGTGATACTATTTATCAATACAATGCAACAGCTGGAAGCTATGCTTCCATTGGAGACCAATATACGCGAAGCTTACGCGGCTGGTCAGGATCAAGAACAGAATTTTATCCAGAACCTAGCTATGTTTCTCTGCACTTTTCTGAAAGATCACGGCGAGCTAATAGAGAAGAAACAATTGAACGACACACTACTTAAAGCGCTGCACTATCTCGTTCTTATTTCCGAGGTTGAGGAAGTTGAAATATTTAAAATCTGTTTGGAATATTGGAACGGGTTGGCGTGTGAATTGTACAAAGAGAGTCCTTTCGTGAATTCTCCACCGGCGCTTTTCATGCCTAAAAACATTACCGCTCCTCGAAGAGTATTTTACGGTCCGGTCTTGACGAAAGTGCGGTACATCATGATAAGCCGAATGGCAAAACCGGAGGAGGTTCTTGTCGTAGAAAATGAAAACGGAGAGGTTGTGAGAGAGTTCATGAAGGATACCGATTCGATAAATTTGTACAAAAATATGAGAGAAACTCTTGTTTATCTCACTCACCTTGATTATATGGACACCGAAAGAGTAATGACAGAGAAGCTGCAAAATCAAGTTAACGGCACAGAATGGTCTTGGAAGAATCTCAATACGGTAAGTTTTTTCTCTGGTCTGTATGATATACATATATGTGCAATAGAAAATATTGTAACAACAGCATAATGTGTTGTATTTATCGTGTTTTGTTTGTTAGTTATGCTGGGCAATAGGCAGTATTTCTGGTGCTATGCACGAAGAGGACGAAAAACGATTTTTAGTAACTGTAATCAAGGACTTGCTTGGTTTGTGCGAACAAAAGAAAGGAAAAGATAACAAAGCTATAATCGCCAGCAATATCATGTACGTTGTTGGCCAGTATCCGCGATTTCTCAGAGCTCACTGGAAATTTTTAAAGACTGTTGTAAATAAACTTTTTGAGTTCATGCATGGTAAGTGAATAATACTTTGTTTTTTTTTTTCGTCATTGTGTATATGCTTGTGTATGCGCGTCTAAACACAAGTAACCTTTGATTTCCGTCGCAGAAACGCACGACGGAGTACAAGATATGGCGTGCGATACTTTTATTAAAATAGCACTAAAATGCAGAAGGCATTTTGTTACTGTACAACTAGGAGAACCAATGCCATTCATTGAAGAAATTCTTTCTACAATTAGCACCATCATATGCGATCTTCAAACACAACAAGTGAGATAAATCCCCGCTCCTTTTATTGCTTTCTATTTTGTATTTTTAACATAATGTGATGTGATCTTTTTTTCTTTTTTTTCAATTCTCTGTATAAAAATATTTTATACGATTATAGGTGCATACATTCTACGAAGCCGTCGGCTACATGATAAGTGCCCAACCTGACAACGTAGCACAGGAGCAGTTGATCGAAAAATATATGCTTCTTCCTAATCAAGTTTGGGACGATATTATCAGTCAAGCGTCGAAAGTATGTGGTTGTTTTTATTGCGCTCAATTAAAAGAATCGAACATTTATATTTTGCGTATAAACTAACGGTTTTTTAACACTAATGTTTTTTTAGAACGTAGATGTTCTGAAAGACCAGGAAGCTGTGAAACAACTCGCGAGCATTTTGAAAACGAATGTTAGAGCATGCAAAGCACTTGGACATCCGTACGTTCTTCAGTTAGGAAAAATATACTTAGATATGTTGAATGTTTATAAGGTATGTTTTTTTTTTTTTTGTGAATTTTTTTATAGAACATTTCAAAACGCAGTTACTATTATCGAGACGCATTTGTTTTAGGTTATGAGTGACAATATAAGCGCCGCGATTGCTGTGAATGGTGAGATAGTTATGAAACAACCTCTGATCAAGAGTATGCGAGTAGTGAAAAAGGAAACGTTAAAACTAATATCGGATTGGGTGAGCAGAACTACAGATCATCAAATGGTAAATTTTCTTGTTTACTTTTGAACTTGCATAACTTGTCTCGTTGAAATAAACTTATTGAAATATTTTTCTCTTACAATCAGGTATTGGAAAATTTCATACCACCATTGTTGGATGCTGTTTTGCTGGATTATCAAAAGACTAATGTTCATTGTGCTAGAGAACCCGAAGTGCTTAGCGCTATGGCCATCATAGTAAACAAATTAGAAGGTCATATCACTAGCGAAGTACCCAAAATCTTCGATGCAGTATTCGAGTGTACTTTAGAAATGATAAACAAAGATTTTGAAGAATTCCCCGAACACAGGACAAACTTTTTCCTTCTTTTGCAAGTAAGAAATATCATGTATATACATATATTAATTTTTCTTTACGTCTATATATATGTATATCTATTAATTTACTTTCTACATGAGCGAAGATTGATAATAAGCGTTGATTTTTATCTTTTACTTCAGGCAGTAAATGTTCATTGTTTTCCTGCGTTCCTTTCAATACCACCAGCTCAGTTCAAACTGGTTCTCGACTCTATAATATGGGCTTTTAAACATACAATGAGAAATGTTGCGGATACAGGTTTGCAAATTCTGTATCAACTTCTATTGAATATTGAGCAACATGAGCAGGCGAGTCAAAGTTTTTATCAGACATACTTCACGGATATTTTGCAACATATATTCAGTGTTGTCACGGATACATCACACACGGCAGGTAAAGTAGTTGCATATTCTACTATTCTGTTAATGTAGTTTTATCTCTACAAGTTTTTGTTTATGTACACAGGCCTCACAATGCATGCCACGATTCTCGCTTACATGTTCACACTTATCGAGCGCGGAAAGATTCAGGTACCTCTTGGCCCTGTACCTGATAATACTTTATATATTCAAGAATTTGTTGCGAGATTGCTTAGAGCAGCTTTCCCGCATTTAACTGATAATCAGATTAAGATAACCGTGCAGGGACTATTTCATCTGAATCAAGATATCACCGCGTTTAAAGAACATCTCAGAGACTTTCTCGTGCAAATCAAAGTGAGTAACACTTGGTACACAATGGTTTGTTCTTCTTCTGGTTAAAAAAAACTCAACATAAAACACGTCTGTTTCTTTTCGCAGGAGTACACGGGTGAAGACGATTCTGAGCTTTACCTGGAGGAACGAGAAACGGCACTGCGACTGGCGCAAGAGGAGAAGAGGCGGCAGCAAATGGCCGTACCAGGTATTCTCAATCCGCACGAAATGCCCGAGGAGATGCAGGATTGAATTATCCTACGTGATCTTTGTCGATCGTTTTATGCACATCCGAAGAACAGTCCGTTAAAGGAATTACTGTATCCTTTGAGCTGTAATTATCCCTGCGACATCACCATCATTATAAAAAATCAGATAAATATTGATTACTTACTGAAACCGAGTCTGCAAAACTACACTCTTGTTAAGGAGGTAAGCCCGAAGCGTGGTGACTGTTTGTTTGTCTGTTATAGAATTTTAAATGAAATTCGAATTTCTGTTGTGGATAATGGGACAATTGCCTGCGAGCGATGCTATTTCATGTAATGAAATTAATAAATTGCTTCTCACAAAAAAGTTAAATGTCTAAGAAACAATAACTAAAATATGCGAAAAGATTTTTATCAAAGGATTAATTCCCATTAATCTGTAAGAGAAAAAAGAAAAAAACAAACCACAAGATAGAAACGACAAAAATGACGTTACCATTCTTTAGAAACTAACGGTCGATTGACGCGATTATGTATTTCTTGTGTAATGAATTTTCTATTTTACGAAGAATTTTCCCTGAGAAAAAACCCGCGTAACTACAATTATATTATTAATTAAGTTTCGTTTTAGCATTTTCTATGCAAAATAAAAGAGAAAGAAAAAAAAACGTAGCTCAACAGAGTTTTTGTGCACATTCTTATCGAGATCATTTACAGTACTGTCCATGGAATATATGAAAATATGTATGTATGTCTGTAAGCTTATTTGTGATAGCTTATACTAAAATGTATTAATACATGAATTTGTTATAATATAAATACTACAAAGGAAAAAAACTCTTTCTTCCTGTTCCATTTTTTTTTAACGAGCAAGAAATGATATGTATCTTTCGTTTATTCGCGCGTAAATAGGAAGAGACGTGTCATTGGTCTCTTAGCTCTACGATGCCAATAAAAAATAACTTTTGTTTCTCCGAAGAATAAAATTCACACGGAAAAAAAAAATGTTACATAATACTTAGATAAGAGACACACTTGCGGGTGATAAAACTTACTGTTAGATAAATGCAAATACACATAGTACGTATATCTAACCCGAATAATTTAAAAGTCATATAAAAAGATATACGTATGTATATGTATATATAAATTATGATATATTTATGTGTATGTATATGTGTGTATATCTTTTTATTATGTACTAGCGACCTATATTTAACTTGTTAGGATGTCTACGCATTTATATTTGATCACTATAGACATAATGAGATGATTGCAGTGAATACTTGGGAATGTGGACTCTAATGTGTATATGATCGGATTGAAAAAATATATAGGTAGAAGATCTCTCCTCCGATATATAATAATAATAAGGTGTGTGTATATGAGATACAATTGAGATAAATACGACCAGTATGAAAGTGTAATTATAATGCAATGAGAATCGTATAAAACAAAATGATGATACGTATGTATGTTTGAATCAGTGTGGAGCTTTATAAAATGTAATACTTGATTGATATTAGAGAAACTACGAAGGGAATACACAACAACAACAATGAGGACGTTCGGATTCGAAATAATATTTTGCATAAAATAGTATCGTCGCAGCAGGCTTTGAAAATGCGTTAGGGTGTGTTTTTATCTGACGATAAATGAGCGAGAAGAGAGTTGTGTGTGTAACATAATATTATATGTATTATTATATTATGAGGGCCATATAGTGGATGATTGTAAATTTAAAAATTAATCACACAACACGAACACATTTAACACCTTTAGGTTTCATCTCTGATTTTTTTTTTTTTTTTTTTTTTTTATATTCGTATTCCTGAATAGTTTAGCGATCGTGAGAAGTATGTTTCTTATTAAACGTTTCTATCTAGTGAAACAAAGGTGTAGAAAAGAATCAAGTGTTTTTTAATACATCCGTTTTTACGAAGTCATCGCATACTATCAGTTTACACGCTGCGCAACGTTCTCTCGAATGATACTCGAGACAAATTCAAATAAATAAATGTTTTATTGTAGTACTGCCTTACGTTTATTGTCTGAAAGCAAATTTTTCTAACTTCTTTTATATCTCTCGTCTGAGAGAGAGCTCATGTATATCTTCTAAGTTTAAGTTTTTAAGTATTTTGAGGAAAGAAAAAAGTAATCCCTACGTCTTTACTCAGTATCGTTATGAGATCCATTGAATGAGCATAAATGGCTTTAGTTGTAGATCTTTTACAAAGAAAGAGATATATCATTTGTGTTTGTACGATAAATTGCGAGCGTACACGATAACTTATATTGTGTGAGTGAGAAAGAGTAAAAATGAGAGAGAGAGAGAGAGAGAGACAGGAAGAACTATATATGAGAGTGAGAGAGAGAGAGAGAGAAAAAGTGAGAAAAGAGTTTGATTAATAAATTTTTAGTATAATCTATGTGAAATTGCAAGCTTTTATTATACACATTAAATCAAATAAGTAGTAACTTAGTAAATAAATTTGAGGTAAGATAAGTTCCGTCACGGTTCGTGCTTGCCTCCGTAACAATCGAAATGCTGCAAATGCTTGGATTTTTAAATAGAAAAAAATAATGCAACTTATATATATATATAAAAAAAAAAAAAAAAAAAAACACAAAACAAAACTACGTGTTTAATATTGAGATATATGATTTATATAGAAAGAGTCTGTGAAGAGATACCACATTTATTAAATAAATATCTCAAAAACATTTCATAAAAAAAAGACGAATGTGTTTAAAGAGTAAATATGTTTGAGAGAAAACTTTTACTTCTCGCGCCTCTGTATGTGGTACGTTATTTCTGTCTGCTTGTACCGTGAGTTTGACCATATATAGCCGTATACGGCGTTCGGGGGAAAAAAGAGAGAGAGAGAGAGAGAGAGAGAGAGAGAGAGAGAGAAAGCTATATATTCAGTATATAAATCTGTTTTAAAAAATCTTCAATGAAAATATCAATACTTATATACTTTTATACCGTTTACCACATACATACATGTATTTGTATGCTCACCAGAAATTAGAAAAGAAAATCTCTTCTCTTAATTTTTATTGTCTACTTCTATTATACAAAGAAAGACAAATATAGATTCAAAGGGGGGGAAAGAGAAAAAGAGAGATAAAGATACGTGTATAGAAATTCTACAAGTGCAAACAAACGTAAATAAATAGTTTTACCTCAAATTATGTTATGTTAATTATGTTACGTTCGAGATATATAAAAAAAAAAAAAATTGACAAGGAAGTGTTTACGGGATCGTTCAAAAGCCTATCTAAGAACTTGTAGAGCTATTGCTCGCGTACAGAACTAATGTCGGAATTTTGATTTTTTGAAACTGCTGTGTCACCTCCCTTCAAAGATTCAAAGTTGAAAAATAAGTGTTTGAAGACTCAAACTCTTTTCTACACGCGCGAACAATAATTTCTACAATTCCTGATGGTTTTTAGAACGATTTTTATAAAGATGGCTTTTAAACATTTTTGTTTTTTTTACTTTGAAATGGTATTTACTTTACGAATTTTCTTACGATCTCAATGCAATTTTTCTACATTTTACAGATTTGTTGTGCGGAAAAACATATCTGAATAAAGATGAACATATCTCTTTGCACGAAGTGTTATTAACATGTGTATGTTTCGTCTAATTTTTACGCAGATTGTAAATAATGTGTTTTGCATATTTTCGCCGATTCGGAGTAGATTTATCCGACAGCAAAGCGGATGTAGCACGGATTCAAACCGAAAGAACTTTACGTAAAGTGGATGTCGGATTAGGGTGCAATTCGTGATTCGCGGGCTATAAAGGCAGAGCCCATACGTCATTCGAAGACCATATAGTTCATGTAAGGCTAGTATTACCAGAGAGAAGCCTGAGAGCGGCCAGGTCCATAAGAAAATGTGTACTCACTTTTTCACCCTGTAAGCCAGCGCACATGTCCACAAGTGGTACACATTGGAACTACGCAGCCAGTCCACGAGCGACATGTCGGTGCGCTATGTCCACAACGTGCGGTTCTATTCTGTGCACGAGTTTAAATGGTCACTTTCTTTAAGTGTGTGTGAGTATATTCGAGAGCGTGAATTTGATTTTTTTTGAAATTTAAAATTTCAAACGACCAACCATTGGCCGAAGCGCCTAGCGCACACGGACACGGCTGTCGCCTGTGTGCGTATCCCCTCCACTTGCTGTTGCATGCTTACTGAGTCTCCGATCTGGCATCTATGACCGACATGTCGCTCGTGGACTGGCTGCGTAGTTCCAATGTGCACCACCTGTGGACATGTGCGCTGACTTACAGGGTGAATTAGTGATTACACATTTTCTTATGGGCCTTGCCGCTCTCAGGTTTCTCTCTGATGTCTACTGTCATATACATTTGTGTCACTACGTAGAGAGGCAAAATCACTAGTGCGTATAGTCTGCTACGTTCGCTGTCAAAATTAACTGTTCACGCGTACACGTATGTAATGAATTAAGAGAAAGATCAAACGCACGGCGCATAAATGAGACGATGCTGCATATGAAACCGATGTTCGGAATGTTTTGTTGCGTTATTTATTAAAACTCCAGGTATCAGTGTGATCGAGTAACCTTCAATATGCACTGTAGATGTGTCTCTCTCTCTTTCTCTCTCTGTCTCTTTTTAAACGGAAAGAAAAAAATGTTTTTTTTTTTTTTTTTTTTTAATCTCATTTTGCGCACATACGCACGAATCAGATAATGTTAAATTCTTTCGTCGCGTCACGCTTCAACTAAAAATCATTTGTTGAACGACAGTTCGTTATTATAGCAGTTTGGTACTCTCGGAGGAATTCCTCCAGATTGATCTGGCCTCGTTCGATATTCATCGTTAATTCGATCTCTCACATTTCTACGTGCATATGTTATTAATTGTGTACACGACCGAACACGCACGAATTTCGCAAACAACGTCAATTTGCGAAGTTGTGTATATATGGAGTTAAAAAAAAAAAAAAAAAAAACGGGAGGGAACTCCTTACACTCCGTGCGCAAACTGTCACGAAAGGGTTAAATGTTGTTTAAAAAACTTCGGTTTATATAAAGAGAAAAGATTGGATATACCCAGTAACGTTTCCGAGTCCGTAAGAAAATTTTCAACATATTTAATTCGCATAATTTTTTTAGCGCATTTAATTTGCACACTAACTGCTCTAAAATTTAATTATCTTCTTTATACACTACATGTGTCACATCTTATATATATATTTAATATTATACTTGATATTTGATATAACAAAGTGTCTCTGACGAAGTAAGTTCTTCTGACCTCTTTCCGTCTCTTATCTATACTTTATAGGATATATTTCACATCTGAATGCAATTATGCGTTGAAAAGATGCCATCCGAAACAAATGCTATGTCCAAGCAGGAAGAGGACACAGAGAAATCCAATGAGCAGTCCGTTAATCTAATGACTTTAAATTCGACAAATCAAGAGTCGAATTTGGCCGCAAAACACATAGATTCTCACTTGTCAAACACCAACAAATGTGACGAAGTACGCGCGTCAGATCTAAGAACAAAATTCTTCTACGCAACCGGTTGCGATGCGGTTTCTTCTTCAAGCGGTTGCTCCGTGACCACGAATAATTTGCTGCAAGCAGAGAGTTTGTGTCTGCAAGACGAAACAGCAGGTAATGCCGATTTTGCAAAAGTTTTCTTGCTTATATTTTACAAAGTAAAAAAAAATGTGTTGTAAAACTTCAATTTTTTGTTTTATTTATTTCAGACTCAAAACTCGATAACGAAACTATACTAGAAGAAAGAACGTCGGAAGATACATCGAGATTAGATAAGCAAATTGAAGCGAGCAATAAGGATGACGCAGATACGTGCAATGATACAGTACAAAATTCCAACCACAGATCGCTTCCTCTCGCCCATAGAAATCTCTCCAGAAAGAACTGCTTGTTGACGCAAAATATTTCCGAAATTTGTCACGCCTCGTCAGAATTAACAGCAAACAACACCCTAGACAAAGTAGTTCACGATTGCGAGAAACGAAATAGTATTACAGACGCGGAAAACTGCAAAGAGCGTAAACCAAATACAGGAAATTTGTGTAACAACAACGGTGATCTTGCATCGAACGTCAAGCATAAATCGGTGCGGGAGGCATTATTGAAAAACAACGATCCCGTTTCGTCAAATCACAGCGGTCTTGCGAATATATCGTTAATAAAATCGTCCAGCGACAATGACAAAGATTCGAACAAAGATCCGGATATCAATTTGTCAACAGAAAACAAATCAACATTTCTGTCCGAAGACTCGTCGAGTGCTTCAACCTCGGTACATTGTACCGACGAGACTGATAACGCGAAAGGACCTTTAAATCTATTAGACAATAATAACAAAAATTCACTTGAAATTGCGGATGACAAAAACGAGTCGTTTGTCTCGTCCGAATCTATTTGTAAGATGTCAACGTTGCAAGACGCGGGATGCAGCAGCTCTTCCTCGCGTTACAGTGATACCGCTAGTACAAGTAAGCCATTTAAACTGCCAATTTTAGAAAAGATACCGAAAACCGTTCACCCGCCCGATGTCGAGGAGAACGCGGTTGCGCTCTTAGAGCCGTCGTACGCCAGACAAGACCAATTAGAGGAAGTTCGTTGCCTAGATCTGGAGCCTCGTTCGTCGAACAGCAGCGAGGAAAGTAATTCGGACATCGAGTCTCAGCAAGCGAGTACAAGTCACAGCGATATGAAAAAAGTGAGTAAGTTCCGTATTTTTTATATTTCACTAAAACGTAACACATTTTTCTTTCGACATCTTACAAATTAAAAATGTAAAACAGTTAAAAATGTTAACTTTGCGAAATCGAGAGAGATCGCGAGACAAAACTTTTTTTTCTGCGTGACCACAGAGACAGTGCAGACCTAATGGAGTTATAGCGAAGGAGGGAGATTATTATCAGCTTTGGCGCAGCACAGGCGGCCGCACGTCTCCCGAGTCTCTGTACGACACTCTTTATCCAACGCCGCCGCCGCTCCCACCGAGAGCGACGCATCGGCCGTTGCACAGAAGTAACGCTTTACCGAGCAGCGCGCCGGAATTACCTAAGCGACATCCTCAGAGACATCCCGCGCCGCTCCATCCCGAGGATTGCTTCGGATTCGAAATTGTAGACGTCGACGAAGCCAATCTTAGGGTTTGTGTTTCGTTAATTCGGTTATTACACATTTAATGTGCACCTACTTTCGCGAATCTCGATTGACACGCGCAGATTATCTTGACATTTCAGTTGAGAACAGCGGTTACCAAGAGCATCGCGTTACTAAGTTCGCCGAGATCGCACAGACAACGCGAGAGACCGGAACCGACGTTGCCTAATCAACTCGAGTGTCCGCCTACGCCTACGCATCGGCCAAAACCCTTGTGCCCGTTACCCATATGCCAAACGTCAAATGTACCTTTATCTTCGGAAGAACCTTTACCTCCGTGTAAGCAGAAATTAAACGAATTGGTTTGGCCACGCACTCGCTTTGTTTTGTTTAAATATTACTTTGTCACGTGTTTTGTTTTGTTTTGTTTTTTTTTCAGCATGGGAGGCGAGAATAGATAGTCACGGCCGAGTGTTTTATATAGATCACATCAATCGCACCACGACGTGGCAAAGACCCAACCTGACGACGCGCAACACCGGTTGCGATCTGCGTAGACAACAGCTAGACAGACGTTACCAAAGTGTGCGACGCACCATTTCGCGTCCCGATAATATAGATCGCGAGACGAGCAGCACAACGAACGGCAATCCCTTCGAGAGCACCGAGCGACCGAGCGAGCGAACGACCACCGACAGAAGCGAATCAGAACCGTTCGACATCACCACGATACCGCCAGTATTGTTTTTAACACGACCCGATTTCTTCACCGTGTTGCACACCAACGTGGACGCGATGGAACTGTACAATCGCAATCCAAGTTTGAAGCACATGATCAGCAGAGTGAGAAGAGATCCGATAGTTTTTCCGAGATACGAGCACAATAGAGACCTGGTTGCCTTAATTAATTTCTTCGCCGATCCGAGCAAAGAGTTGCCGAGAGGATACGAATCGAAGCTCGACAGAACAGGCAAAGTGAGTTTTCGAGGACTCTCGATATATTCGATCGTACGCGTGTGACTCGGGGGAGACAAAAAAAGAGAGAGAAAGATAGTTCGCTACCGAATGATACATTAATAATATATCGTGTTACAAATTTCAGAGATTCTTCATATGTCACGCGAGAAAGGCCACTTCCTTCATCGATCCTCGATTGCCAACCGAACCCGCGCATTCGCGAACAATGCTCGATGAAGCTCCCGTTCCGCCACCCAGGCCGCAGCAATCGCCCGTGACTGCCACTCCCGACATACCGGTAGCTTACAACGACAAAGTAGTCGCTTTTCTACGTCAGCCTAATATAATCGACATTCTGAAGGAGAGAAGTTACTCGATAGCACAGAATACCGTGCTGCGGGAGAAAATTAATACCATAAGAGTCGAAGGAACGACAGCGTTGCAGAGACTGAGTCACGACGTCCCTCTGGCATTATTGCTGAGGTACATAGAAAAGAAATAGATAATATTTAAAATATACGTGTTTTTAAATGTAATCTCTACACACATATATATGACACTACGTTAATAATATTGTGCCATTGTTTACAGTTTATTCGAACAAGAAATAATGTCGTATGTACCTGGTAGTATCGGTAGATCCCCGCTTGGCAGTCCACACGCATCGCCTGGGCTTACAAGGGCTTCTGCCAGAGCGCCAGCGCCGCACAGGAGGGACTTCGAAGCTAAACTTCGAACGTTTTACCGAAAGTTGGAGAGTAAAGGTTACGGACAGGGACCGGGCAAATTGAAGTACGTTTCACTCGTGTCACACACAAGTGTAAAATATCATTTTTATGTATACAGGAAAACAAAATTATTTATCGTATCGTCTTTTTTTGCTAATTATCTGTGCAGGTTGCATATTAGAAGAGAACATTTGCTTGAAGACGCTTTTACACGAATAATGGCCGCGTCGAAGAAGGATCTGCAGAAAGGAAAATTAGTGGTAATCTTCGATCACGAAGAGGGATTGGATTACGGCGGACCGTCTCGAGAATTTTTCTTTCATTTGTCGCGCGAACTATTCAATCCTTATTACGGACTGTTCGAATATTCGGCTAATGATACTTACACGGTGCAAATATCGCCGATGTCGGCTTTTGTGGACAACTACAACGACTGGTTTAGATTTTCCGGCAGAGTTCTGGGCCTGGCGTTGGTGCACCAGTACTTGCTTGACGCGTTCTTCACGAGGCCATTTTACAAAGCGCTTCTGAGGATACCGGCGAGTTTGAGCGACCTGGAGAGCTTGGATCAGGAGTTTCATCAGAGTTTGATGTGGATAAAGGAGAAGGACATAAGTATCGAACCGTTGGAACTGACCTTCTCGGTGACGGAAGAACTGCTGGGTCGAGTCGCCGAGCGCGAGCTGAAACCAGGCGGAAGAAACATCCCCGTCACCGAGAAGAACAAGAAGGAGTATCTCGAGAAAGTGGTGCGCTGGCGTCTCGAACGCGGCGTAGCGGAACAGACGGATTCATTAGTGCGCGGTTTTTACGAGGTGGTGGACGCGCGACTGGTGTCCGTCTTCGATGCTCGTGAATTGGAACTTGTTATCGCGGGCGCGGCCGAGATCGATCTCAACGATTGGCGAACGCACACCGAATACAGAAGCGGCTATCACGACGCGCATCCGGTTGTGGAGTGGTTCTGGAGTAGCATAAGCCGATTCACTAACGAGCAACGTTTGCGACTGTTGCAATTCGTGACCGGCACCTCGAGCATTCCGTACGAGGGATTCGCAGCCTTGCGGGGATCCACGGGACCGAGAAAGTTCTGCATCGAGAAATGGGGAAGACCGAACAGCTTACCGAGGTATCTTCTCCGTCCGTTTGATAAACGCTTGTTGTCGCGCATTTGTCGTTTTTATACACGCATTGCACCGTCGCCGCTTGTTTCAGGGCGCACACGTGTTTCAATCGCCTGGATCTTCCGCCGTATCCTACGCCCGAGATTTTATACGAGAAGCTGTTGCTGGCTGTTGAGGAAACGAACACATTCGGCATAGAATGAAGCGTCGAGTTTTCGAATTCCGATTACAGAGAGTTCGTACAATCGATAGAGAATTTTGACGAATCGTGCTGAGGAAAATAGAAGATTTTATACCGATCTCCGCCAAGCCTGTGCAATTTTTATGACAATGCAATTTGTCTCGCTCGGACAACAAAATTTATGGTTTCGAGTGGTTTTTTTTTTTTTTTTTTTTTAATCCCGAAAAAAAGAACGGTGTATTCTTTACTCGGTGTAAAAAACCACGTACAAGTAATTTAGATATTTCTCTTTCTTGAAACTTGCATGATTCCACGCGGTTCGCTAACTGTAGACGTTCGCACTTGTTGACGCAGTTGTTGAATGCACACACTTAGAAACTTCGCAATTAAATCTCAGATCTACCTATCTTTTCCGTGTTTTTCTTTTTCGGAATAGCGCGCAGCTGTGATCTTTCTTAAAAAATTGATTTCTTTCTTTCCATTTTTCGAAACTTGAGAATTTATTCGTAATTGTCGGAATCTCGTTTTAAAATCGTAAATATTGGTAAGAATAACTTTAAAGATTACTACGCTTTTTCTCAAAAAAAGAAAAAAGAAATTGAAAGAGAGAGAGAGAGAGAGGGAGAGAGAGAGAGAGAGAGAGAGAGAGAGAGAGAATGAGAGAATGAGAAAGAGAGAAAGAGAGAGACTGTGTATGAGTGCGCGCGTACGCTTCAAAAGAAATTAACTTACATTTCAAAGAAATGATACACTATTACCACTAATTCTAATAACGTGCTATTATTATACATCCTACGATTACTATTTTTATTATCGATAATAATTATTGTTTTTTTTTTTTTTTTTTTGTATTTTATATTCGAATCTCGATGTACTCGACAATTTTGCAACGGGTCGGCATCTACATCTCTACTCTATTCAAATTTCTATTAATTATATAACAATAACCAAGTGCTTCTTTCTGCAGCAATCACGCATCTGCATTTTTACACGCCTTTCGCGTTAACGTTTCACTTCGAAATGAGAAGAAACGTAACGTAAGATTCGAGTGTTAAACCGTTGTTTAAACACATCGTGAACTATTATTACGAACCATCACCTGTTTTTTTTCTAGTCTAGTGAGTGGAAAATTTTACGTGCAGCTACTAATGTTTTCTTAATTAATAATATTTTTAACATTAAGTATTTTTAACATTCCGAAGATTATTATTATTAATATTATTATTATTATTATTATAGTCATGTTCAAAGAGTTTATGAGCGCAAATATTGGGCGCGAAGGACAGGTATTGCCTCTATAAGTTTTCGAAAAGGCTTACTTACGAAGGAAAACACTTTTCTCTGGTTTCCATCTTCTTGCTTAATAGCCCGAGTTATAACAGAGAGATACGTGTGGATTCTTCGAAAAAACTTTTGCACACGGGATGACAAACGCGTTTAAGGAATACGTGTCGCGCGCGCGAAGGATATAGACTTATTACGATGCCTTTTTATTACGCGAAAATACGTTATTATTTATTATTATATATAATATATATATATATATATACATATATATATATTAGATCGTTCTTTATATATATACATTGCAAATGAGATGCATGTATTTGTAATGTTATGTATTTGTACAGCTGTCATCCATAGTTGTTATATGTAAGTGAAAAAAAAATAAAATGCAAAATGAAATGGAAAAAAACGCGTATGATCTTAATCAATTATAATAAGCTAACATTATCTCTCTACTCTTTTTTGTAAAATATAATATCGTACTTGTTATTTAACGTTTCGTCGTCATTCCCCTCGCACGTTTTCTTTTGAAGATTTGATTCTTCACATTTTTATCGCGTTTTCAACTTCGACGTTCCGCCAATCTTGATTGAAATTTTCCTCGCTCTGAGACTCGATATCTAAGTCGCACAGAAAAATTATTTATAATATAATTAATAATTTTAATTGTTATTATACATAGACTTTTTTCTATTTTAATACACTCTTGAGCAAAAACTCTTTGCGAATTCTCGGATCTCTAAAAAATCCTCTGCTAATTTTATCACTACCTTTGTCACTCCTACGCATCATTGCCATGCACTGTGTCGGATGTATTTTTGTTTTCAATCTAAGATTCTTTATGTCATTCATAAACAACTGTTTTTGCCGTATTTGACGTTTGAGAATTTTTTCCAACTTTGTTATATCACTCTTGTATGTTTCCTCGAACTGCGTCATTTCTTCCTGCGAACAAAACAACAGTGATATTCGCACAACGAGAAGAATAGATATTTGACAATTACACGTGTTTAATTAAATTTATTATGTACGTACATCTGACACGATGCGTTGCTTTGACAATTTTTTCAGTTTTGATTGTTCCTCCACTAAAATTGTCAAGAAGCTCAACTTTTGCGTGTGTTCGCGAATCAGTTTGTTGAACACGTTCAATTCTTCCGAGTAGCTCTCTTTAGCCTCTGCAATAAATAAATGAGATGGCGTAAAATTCTAAGGACATTTTTTTATAGCGAATTTTACTTATAATACTTGCGTTTTATTTGCTTGGCGAAATACTTGGTCGCGTCACTCAAGCTGACTTTGATGTCGTGCACCATTCGGCGGATTATCGTTTCGTACAATTCGTTCAATGATATACTCTGACCGAATTTGATCATTATCATCGACTTTATTTCGTTCTTCAGAGTTTTATTTTTAGCGCGCATTTGATTACGATCGAGTTTGATTCTCTGCAGATGCGCTCGCGCGTTTCTGCAAAATCACACATTTAACTTAGATCCTTCTCATTGTTAAATTGTTTATAGGATTTCACATTAGATAAAAAAAAATTGATTTTCGTACTTATGCTGAACGCGCAATTCGAGTGTCTCTTCCTGCAACTCTTGTATTCTCGAATATAATTTGGACAATTGCGCTTTGTCGAATACAACGCAATCTTGTATCTTGGGTGGAATCTCGAACTCGTCGAAATATTGCAGTTGATGCAGCTTCATCACCACCGTCACGTCTACGTCATTTAACTCTTTTTGTTTCTTGAGCTGTTGTTAAACAGAGAATAAACAAACAAATGATATATTTATACAAAAATTACATACAAATTCAGTTAATTTTGCATCAATATTGCAAACAAAATTATTACCATAAAGATTCTCAAATCATCCTCGGTCTTTTTCAAATCGATCTCTGTAACTTTCAGCTTCTTCGTAAATGTCTGAAGTTCCTTTTGAAGAATTTCCACAACCCGTTGTAAATCTTTGATCTGATGTTCGCACGAGTATCGATTTTCTCTCATCGTAAACGCCAATTTGTACAATTCCTCGTCGCATCCCGACGGACATACATTTTCATCAAAATAGATCAGTTCAAGTTCCTTGCTATCGACACTCTCTGTCTCATCCGTTTCAGTTGTTGTGGTGGTAGTTTCTAAAACAAACACGATCATTGATACACTTTGACTTTTTTTTGTGTGCTGATAACAACAGACACAATAAATTTTTCAAATTTATATTATAAAAAATAATCGCTTTCTTTCTCGCTCGATGAGGACTAACTGAAGCGTCACACTCACCGTCGTCCTCCTTCACTTCCTTGTATTTCTTCTTGAATATTTTACATAAAAAATTACGGAATCTATTATCGCCTATCTTGCTCATATACTCAGAGAAGATGTCTTTGATCTGATTACGTAATTTTGTAATTTCTTTAGTTTTAACATCCATTTTATCGGTGACTGTTTGCAACTGAAAGATCAATAATCGCATCGTTCACAAGTAATTCTTCTTTTTGCGCGTAATTGAATATAAAGATCGGTAAAAACTGATCGAGATTAACCTTCTGTTTCACCGTCTCGACCTCTTCCAATTTATTATCGAGTTGATCTTGCAAATTCTTCTCCGTTGTTTCGTACTTTTTCAAAATAACATATTCCTGACGAAGTGTCAACAAGAACAAATTGATGCTGACGCATTCGGAAACGATGTTCAATCTTTCGTGCTGCAACTGATCCAACTTTTTGTCCAAATTCTCGCAACTGGTTTCTATGTGCCTCAGTATGCAATCCTGTTCGTAGATTTTGCGCAAAGCACGAGCGGTCTTCATCTCGCGTTCCCACGGGCTCTCGACGTCGTCCACATGTAACGGCGACGTCGTTACTTTTTTCTGTTCCGCGAGTCGGATTTCCAGCTTCTTTTCCGAACTGGAAAAGAACGAATTGGAAAAGAAATGTTCCGCGAACTTCTTGTCCAGAAGCAATATCTCGTATTCTTCGTCCGAACAAACGCCCGGCATCTGAATCGATTCCGGCAAAATCAACGATTGATCCTTTTCTTGCGATTCTTTGGCTCCGTCCGTTTTCCACGCGTCTTTATCAATCTGTGTACATATACGCACATAAAATGATAAAATACTTTCTCTTTAACAATTAGTGATAAACTGAGAATTTTTTTCTCGGGCTCTAAAAGTCTTTCCAACTAAATGAATATATATATTTGGTCATGAGAGCCGTTCGCAAGGTGTTGTGCGGAAATTATACGTATATATATATACATATATACGTGTTACGTGTAAATTTTTTAACACGTGAAATTCGAATTGTAATAACAATTCTAAAATTCATATAGGATGCTATAATTGCATCTCGTATATGAGAGATCCCAAATACCCCCCTACTTGAAATTAAATTTATATTGCGAAAAAAAACTCCTCGGCCAGGAGTCGAACCTGGAATCTCCGGCTTTCCGGGCCGTCGCCTTCCCTGTTAGGCCACCAAGGCACTTGGAGTTTGTCTCTTTCTTCAACGCTATAATTTAAAATTATAACGATGCTCTTTGACATCAAAATCCCATTAATAAAACGAACAACAGGAACAAAAGCTACTTATTGCGCTTGGAAATTTGAATACAAAAGAAACGTACAATATTTCGGACAGGCCGTGATCTTTTCGTTTGAAAATGTCCGGAGCATCATGTGTCATTGTATTCACACTAGTGGTTATTCTTGCTCTTATTGCAAAGAATTAAAGAAATTGCGCAGTTCTATTTTTTTTTTTTTTTTTAAATATTTCACTACGTACCGTCAGTTTTCTCTCGGGAAATTCTATATCGACGTTTGTTGTAGGAATAACCGGCAAAGGTTTCACGCTGTTTAACGGTATTTCAGCATGAATTTGTCCAAGAGTTTCTATCAAACGTTGAACTTTCGCCTGCAATTGTTCTTTCTCGGTTCTTACAGCTTTCAATCTTGCATTGAAACCTTCTTGCAGATAATAAAGCTATTTGTTGAAAGCGTTTCGTGAGAAAAAGTTACGAATCTTTTTTGCGTATTATAATAATAGAGAATCGTATGTGTACAAATTTGAAATAAGCTTCTATATACGCGAACCTTTTTCCGACAATTCAATATCTCCTTGTACTTCGAAGCAAGAGTGACCCGTTTTTCCGACAAGTCGAAAATCGGCGACGACTTGAGCTTGTAGTCACCGATGGTTCTCTTCGCTTCCTCGATGGCGAGCATATCTTCCGCGTGATTAACAGATATATCCGGCTTTTTGCTGTATATGGCTTTCCACTACATTGAAACAATACAAATTTTGTGATCGTTAAATTCAGTAAATAAAAACCTGTTTTCTTATTCTATAACAATCGTCGTTTGATGCAATCGCACTAACTTCTTTCTCGCGTTTCTCCAATCTCGTCTTTCTCAAAGCGTATTTACGCAACATTTGATTCAAACGAATCCTCGAGCTGCTCTCCGTGTCCTCGTAATCCACTCCTCTTAAAAACTCCGCGAGAGGTTGTCCCTTTATTTTCAATTCGGTTTCTTCTTCTGCATCTCTTTCTTCTTTCCTTGCCATTTCTTCTTGTTCTTCTTCTCTTTCTTGTTCGTAACTCAGAGTTTTATCGTTCGTCAATCTGTATTGATGATGTGTGACCACAAATAAAAACAATATCTTACAAATTCGAGTGTTTTTCTTTTTTATTTCAGTAAATATCGTTCAATCATACACATGACGAGTATCACCTCTTTCTTTGCTTATCGAATATGTGTAGAAATTTCAGCGAGTCGGTATGCAACAATGTGTCGTCAATGTCCAAGACACGTTGGCGCAGAGAATACACCATCTTATCCGGTTCCCTACAATCACGCAAAGAAGCTGTATCATTTTTATCGTCTTGCGCTTAGCACTTTGCAATTCTCACTTACGATATCTTGCAAACGGCAAACGGCAAGCACGTGATGGGTTTGATAAAGTGATCCACGAGTTTCTGCAGTCCCAGCTCACTTTTTTCGATTTTAAACGCCAGTTTCTCCCTGACCGCAGCCATTTCCGCGTCCAACTCCTTATTTAAATCGTCTGTGATTCTAGTATCCAATTCCAGTTCCTCGTGAGTCAGTCGATGAGAATCCGGTAGAGTTTTATTTCTAATAAAGATGTTAAAAAACAAAAAAACAAACATCGTCGCCATCTTCTTGTTTTAACGTTAATTAACAAATTTATCTAAATTTGACACAGAAGTGTTTTCAACCTCTCTATAATTTTGCTATAGTCCTCGCTTAGTTCCATCAACTTCTCCAAGGTCTGTTGTTTGCTCTGCTTCGCCGCTACAGCAACTCTGTCGCGTTCAGTTTGTTGAATCGTTTCTTCCAAAGTTGGATGATCAATTTCTTTGATATCTTCGACGCTAGTACGCGGCTGGAAACAATAATTATAGAAAATAATTTATTATAAAAACTTATAAAAGCACTCGCCACAGTTGCGCGTAATAAATAAAAATCAAACAAACGTACCAAAGATAAAGTTCCTCGAATCATTTCGAATTTAATCGCCTCGGGTGGCGTGTCATCATTCACCTCGTAAGAAAACAAGTTTCCATCGTGGCCGCACGTAAACAAAATTCTCTGATCGTAGCTGAGAACCATTTTCGGAATGTGACCGTTGTAATAATCGTGCATCGGAATTATCCAGTAATCCGAGAGATCTGTATGGTTGTTCGGCTTCCACTTGCAAACTCGTATCTCCCCGTGCTCCATTCCCAAAAACAAGTATCTTTCTTTACTGCAGCGACAAAATTAATTAAACTTGCGTTTCGCAAAGAAGTAAACGAATCGATTTTTGCGACTCGCTCGTATAATATAGTCAATCGTATGTTCTTACTACAACAGACAACTTCGTATTTCCACGTCATCGGCGTCGTGTATCATAACGCTTCTTGCGGGTTCTTGCCCGATAGTTTCGACGACTTCCGGACTCGGGTATTCGTACATGTATCCCGCGTCAAATCCCGCCATCGACAACCAAATAACATCGGGACCAATGTATTGTGCCATCAGGATCTTGTTCGGTGTTTCCGGTATGTATATTTCCGGCAACGGTTCGTCCTCTTCTACATCCACTATAATTTTATTATCGTCTCAGTGATTTTTATACTTCTATGTCTTGAATACATGCTGTTATTCTAAAAACCATTTAAACTAATTTTTTAAATACAATCTCGTGATAATTACTGAGAAACGTTTCCTCATCGACTTCCAATCCGGGACTCTCGGCCAGCAAATGGGCTATTTCTTCGCGCTTCTTCGCTAATTTCTCTTTCTTCTCTTTCTCCCGACTCGAGCGTATCAATTCCCTTCGAATAGCAGACTTCACGGAGTGAAATTTAAACGCTCTCGGCCGACATTGAACGAGTTCGTACGATGCGACGGTGTATAATTGCGGAGCACTTGGCAATGCAACTTCCACGCAATCTCCTCGCGAACATCCAATTAACAACGTGGTTTTCTATGTACGTTTTAATTAAGAGCAATTACAATTACGTCTATTTATTCGAAATAAAAAGTTGTAACAAGGAAGATAATTTTAGTTACACGTTGCGGTTTCCACGCGAAACACGTGACTTCCGAAGGAACTTTGACAAAGCCGATTGGCGTGATTGCGGGGTAGGTTTCTGTCACTGTGACAGCGAAACCAAATACAGTTGCGTCCTCGCTGCCAGTTACCAGCAAACTGAAATATTCTTACGTGGAAATTTACAATTCTGATAATAAAAGTAAAAAGTTTTTGATAATAATACTTTGTTAAAATTCAAAAATATATTTGATATTAAATAGTGTATGTTCATCACGTTTTCTAATGTCACCTGTACGAAGAGTTCAGAGACATCGCAGTTATTGCCATTTTGTGCGGTCTTATTACTTGAATCAGTCTAACGTAATCCCCGTTTATGTCATCGACAGCGTTTGCTTCCGATATCGCCGCAACGATCACACGAACGACACCGCTTCCGAAAGCGCAAACGAGCGTTGATCCCGTCGCTTCGATCTTGCAAATATGCAAAAAATATTTTACGCGAAGCAACTTTGAAACGAAGTGTGTGAAACATACAAATTCTAGAAGATCAGTTTACCTGGCATGGGAACCAAACGACTTGACTGCCAACGTCGTTGAATCTATGTGCTAGGATCAGCCTTTTTTCTGTGTAATTATAAATAAGTAGCTGTCCAGCTGCGCTAAGCGCGGCTACGAAAGGTCCCCATGTCGCACTAGCCATGTCGACTATGGCACCAGCGGAGCATGTAAATATTTTTCGCGACACCTGCTGCGCGGTGTCTAAATCTATCAACCAAATCCCGCCGTTTCCGTCCTAAAAAGAAAATCTACATCAGAAACAAATAATAATAAAAAAAAGGCTGTAAAATATTTAGAAAGTATTAAAGTTAAAAATAATTAATGTAAATCTTGTCTTCTATTTTTACATTAATTTTTTAATTAAAATATTGTATTGAAATCTATTCTCGTATGTTTAATATCGGTTACTATCAAATAATTACTTACTTGAACGTACCAAAGTGTACTTTCCGGATTGTTCGGTTCTCGCTTACGCATACACATGAGCATTGACTCGTACGCCTTGTCATTTTCGCTGATGTGATATTCGTAAATAGGCTGAATCTCCAGAAAACGTTCCTCATCGCGAACGTCCATTTGATCGATCGTTTCGTAAAACCATATTCGAATCCACCCATCCATACCTGCGCATTTGTCATATTTTTTTACAATATAAACCGAGAGAGAGTTTTCAATATTGCGTGTTGCAATTTTTGTGATAAAAAATTGTTGCGGTGCAAGAAAGCATTTTACCGAGCGATATGAGCTCTCCGTTTATGTACTCGAACTGTGTGATCGCTCTGTTGTGACACGGCTGGCGATTTTTCTTACACACTTCGAGAGTAATCAAACCCTCTTCCCATAGCAAAATGTTTCCCCACTCGCAGCCGGACACGATCTGAAATAGGGCACGTAATTTTGAACAATCAATCGAAGCGCTATGCTCTCAAACAAACAGCTATTTACTTTTCCGTCCGGCATGATGTATACACCGATAATGTCGGATATCTCCGTCTGACCGAATCTGCCGATCTCGCCCTTCAATTTGAGCCCGGTGAACGTATTCGAGATCTTCCAGAATTTTATGTGACCCGATCCGCTGGTCGCCAGATAGCCGGTCAGCGACGGTGATATTATGACGTTGTGCACGTCTCTGTTGTGAGATTTGCATTTCAACGCTATTTTCGATCTCTGCCAATCCCAGAGCACGATCGTGTAATCTGGTTCGCCTCCTTGTGACACCAACAGCGAGCCGTTTGTGCTGCAACAACAAAATGCGCACAAACTTTTTTGCAAACAAGTACAACGCGTGTACAATTTTTCACGTTCTTTTTGTCTTTCGCACGAGCAAGTTTTATCACCTGTAAGCTAAGTGGGAATAGCGTTTTAACGTGCCGTCGTGCAAAATTGTCACGATTTCCATTGAAGGCCATTTGTAGATAATTATCGGAGGGTTCTCGCCGTTCTCACCAACAGCGATATGATCAAATACAGGATTCTTCTAAATAAAAAGCAGAGAGAATAGATGATAGAAGATTGCATAGAATTTAAAAAACAAATATATATATATATATATATATATATATATAAATCTGTTATAATTGATGCAATCGACTTTTAAGACAAGTTTTTATTTTTATCTCTGAAAATCTCATTTTGCTAAACTTTTATATTTCCGCAATTTCCTCAAAACACAAGAGTACATCCTATTTTTATATTAATTAACAAACAAGAATACCGTCACGTGTCCAATCCCGCTACCAGTGCATCCTCTTCTGAACCACACGTTCCTCGTTGTAGTATTGAAAAAATGCAATATATTACCGGAAGCGAACAGGACAACATCCGGTTCTACCACGCAAAGATTGAAATACCTCTGACAGTCGTACGAAAACGAGTGACTTTTGTCGATCGATTATTTATAAGGAATTTAAAAGGTTTGTAAGTTTTTAAAATTATACACGAAACGCGATATCATCGTCAAATATACATATATATTGTTAAAAAAAAAAATACAACGTGAGAAAAATAATCGGCGTAAGAGATGCCGATCGGAAAAGGATACTGAAACTTCAGAATATTCAAAGGAACTGTTCCGTTCGACACGCGTCTTCCTTCGGACGTGTAGTTTCTCGAATCGTAAATCATTCTGTGCAAAATCTCTTTGTTATCCGCTTTTCCGTCTTTGTCATTCCGTGAATCTTCGTGTCCCTGCATTTTTTCTTCTAACGCTGTTTTTTTTTTTTTCGTTCCTGCTCGATCTGAAACGTCGCGCGATAAAAACTCAGCGCAAATATAACGCGACAACAATATGAACGAATGAAAAATCGTGTGATGTGTGCAACTTCAAGTACGTACGTACGTACGTTACTCAGTTTCCATAGATATTCCGAGATTTCTGTTTGTTCAATATGTCAAAAGTTTTCCCGCTAAAATGAAACACCGAAAAAAAAAAAACACTGTACGCGAATTTTGCGACAGTTTTCTCGATTTTTCTTCATTTATTTTTTCGGGTAATGGAATATATATTTGTAAAATAAAAGAAATGCGATTTGAAAAAAAACTGAAACGCGATCAATCGATCGATTTTGCAATTGCGCAGAAAAACTGGGTTTGAAATTAAATCAAACTTTGTGATTGGCTGATTTTAATCTCGTGATTTTATTCACGATTCTTAACGACGTCTCGTATATCAAACCTCCGTATATATCCAACAACTCGGATCGATTTCTCGCATTGTGAACACACACACAGTTTCACAGTGCTGCCACGTTGTTTCATCCATAGACGTATAATATATAGACCGCGCGTTTGGCTGAAAAGATGTCTTCAACGTTGAGAGAGACAACATACCTTGAATAGTAACTCTTTCTCTGTCTATCATTTTCCCCACTACTTCGCTAGACAAAGATGAGGCTACTATTCAACACCAGCTGTCTCTCTCTCAACGTTGAAGACATTGGGTGCGTTCAGACAACTCAACAGTTGCACAACGGTTGAGAGATAATCACTTCTGATTGGATCATACTTTTGGAACCGCAGCAGATTTTGAAGAATAGTCCTATCATAAGTGATGATCTCTCAACCGTTGAGTTGTCTGAACGCACCCATTTTCTTAATATGGCAAAGGTAGGGAACGCGCAGTCTATATAGGCTGCTTTCCTTTTAAGGGACACAAATCGACACAGATTAACACACTCGAGCACAGTTTGCCACAGTAAATGGAACGCGATATATACAGTGTGTGTACGAACAGTACAAACTTGTAATATACATAACTTAACCTTACAAAATTTTTCAAAATTTTCAAACGGTGTGGTCTTAACTTTTACAAATGTACATATCTATATATTATATTAAATATTTATATATATTTGTGTATATAAATATGTTTCTTAGTGTAAATATATTTTAAGATAAGAGTTTTATTTTAAAGATAAGATTTTATTATTATTTTTTGCCACTGATCCAACAGTGGCAAAAGTAGTAACGTGATATATTAAGGAAAATTAACAACAATGTTTAATATATGCAATGTTTACAATTCTGATCGTATATAAATATATGATCATATATGTAGAAATGCTTGAAGCTGCAATGGTGCAGATATATGCGTCAAAAGTACACTTGAACACACTCTGACTCTCCTCCCGAGAAGAGTCGAAGTGTGTCGATTGAGGTCGATCACAATTACAAATGGAAAGCGATGTGTGACGCTTTGTGTCGAATGTGTCGACTGTGTCTCCTAAAAGGAAAGCAGCCTATGGTTTCATCTATCTCGCAATTATATTGCTCGCAGAACGTTCCTAGGAAATAAACACGCGAGCCAATCAACGTGTCTCGCTTCCTCGTAAGTACGTATTTATTGGACGGCGTTCAGACAACACTGAACAACGTTGCACAACGGTTGAGAGATAATCACTTACGATTGGATCATGCTTTTGGAACCGCGGCAGATTTTGAAGAACAGTCCTATCATAAGTGACGATCTCTCAACCGTTGAGTTTTCTGAATGCAACGTAACCGTTATTTTCCGAAAAGCGAGCGTCGATTGGTCGCTTTTGTCGTCTCTTGCCCCTCTACGTGGCAACCATTTCCGCGTCCCGTGGTTAGAAGCCATCACTGCCATCGTTTCGCACTCAGTTGCCTTCGTGTTCTTCTGCAAAAATCTGTTACGGCAATCGCGGATTCTGTGACGACAATGTGCAATATCTTTCTGTGAGAAATACCTAGTCTTGTTTTACGTGCCTGTCGTAGTTTGTCGTGAGTTACGTTGATCGCGGACAAAATGGATTTTAGCGAATTGCTGGCTGTCGCGCAAGAGAACAAAGGTAAAAGCCAGGTAAGTTTGACGTGGTGGTTACTCCACGCAATCGGGTCTGCGAAAACTGAGTTTGTTCTAGATCATTCTAAGATATAATTTAGATACCTACGAATTCGAAATTTATTATCCGTATCTTTGCAACGACAAACGTAATCGCGGTCAAATCTCATTTCTCTCTCTTTTAACGTCACGAACTTGTTTTTTTTCCGCACAGTCCGCACCGTGTTATCAGACCAAATTCGCACCGCCCAAGAAAGAGGCGAAGCAGAAAGTTCTTTCCGCCAATATCAAAAAGTTTATAGCGAGAAGAGAAGAGGAGGAGAAACAAAAGCAGTTGGAAGAGAAACGAAAGAAGGAGGTAAGTGCGAGAAGAAACGAACACAGGACTACATTATCTGCAATTACATATGCGTGCAGATGCGATGTTTACGTCATGTAATATTTAAACATTCAGCAATATTTATTTATTAACGAGTTACTGGGTGTTTTTCCAGAATCTCTTATCTTTGCGAGATCACAAAGCTCAAAGTCGAATAAGTAAGCACTTGAAGGTGTGCAAAGCAGCCAACAAGGCAGTGATCGCAGATGCCATCGATACCGAAAATACAGCCATTACCATTGCAGGTAAATTTGATCTGAAGTATATACGTGTGCCAATATTATTCTATTAAGTAAATGTCAATTTTTTGCTTAGATGTTAATAAGACTAATAATAATTGAACTTTTTTTTCATGCAAGAACAGAAAAATTAAAAAGTGCTCAGTGGCACGATGAAAATCTCTTTAAAAAATTGGTTTTTTTTTTTCTAGCACAAAACAATTGAAATCTGAGAGAGATAGAGTGGTTAGGTTGTAAAAAAATATTTATCTTCTATTTTATACATACAATACTGTGTATTTTATATTAATGATGTAATTCTTGTACAATATCAAGCAGCTTTTTTTCTAAAACATATCTATGTAATCCATATCCATTAGACACATCAAGTCTCAAAACAAAAGTATAAAACTAAAGTTCCAAATACACAGACATCTGTTTACTATTATTTTTATTTAGTTACAGCTACATTTTTGCAACTTTGTTTTAAGTAAATTATTATGGAAATTTAGAAAATTTTACTACAGTTACGACATGGTAAGTAGATTTGTTATCATTTTAAAATAGTAAAATTTTCTATGCTTAAATCGCAAATTTGTAATAAATTGATAAGTAAAAAATTAACTGTTAGGTAACAAATAATAATAGTAAACATAAATTTTTTTTGGAGAACATTTAACTTTTTTTTTCTTAATTTTAAACTGGTAATCTCTAGAACTAGTATTCTGTGTGTTGCATGTGTGCATATGTGTACATTTGCATAAGATGCAACAAACAGTTTGCATGATATATATACATATATATATCGTTAGTTTGATTGATGAAAAATCTCTTATCCATAACGGGCAATATTTTCGCCCACAGGTTGTAATAAAAAAAAAAAAAAAAACAAGATACATTATTTATCCGTCATCCTGATGCTGAACAATTTCACGGATTTGCGCAGCGGAGGATTTTAAGACGTTAAGGTCAGCTATTTAAAACTCTTAGAGTTAATCTGAAAAATATACTCTTAAGTGTGGAATCTGTACTATACTGATTTCTGCACTCTTTTGAGTAAATTTGACAGAGGAAGAGATAGTGAGATTAATTCAAATTTGATAGAGATTAAATTTTTTTAATACAAAAATTTTTGAGTAATTATATTAGACTACATCTGTGAATTTTAGTCAAAGTGACAGACATTGACAATGTGCTGAAAGGAAAGTTGTTTTAAGTTACATTTCTTTTATTAATGCAAGTCATGCACATGAACGAAGCTTCATTATCATATCACGATCATCTTTTGTGTGCTAATTAAAAAACAATGTATACTTAAAACAATGTATAATTAAAGATGTAAATCTTTTCTTAGTAAACTTACTTCCTCAATACATATTCTCTAATACATTTATTATTCAAACTATTTTCTCAAAAACTTTCGATATGATATAAATATTTGTGCAATTTTACACTCTGTTTTTCATTCGGTACCAAATCTTATTTTACTGATGTGTAATAATTATTACCTACTCTTTACTGATTTACTTGTATTTTTCTCAATTACTTTTGTATACAACACTCCTTCATACTATTACCAATTTTTGAATAATTCAACTGTAAAATTATTTTGATGCTTTATATTTGGAACTTTATTTTTATATAATTGTGAAGTGATACGTTTTACTGACTGGTCAAAATATTCCTTCAAAATATATTTGTATATACTATATGTTGCAACAATTTTTAATTATATACATATGTGTACTTATAAATATTATTTATTACTTATTCAGGTCCTTCTCAACCTGATGAAGATGACTACGGATACGAATCGCAGTCGTCTCTTTTGTATTACCAGCAGTTAATGAACAAATATAATAGTCAACCTCCAGAGAAATCTATTTTTAATAATAACAATGAAAAAAGAACAATAAAGGATATTGCATCTACAAAGGTAAGATAATATTTTCAGTGAATTAAGTAAGAAAAAAATATATATACGAAAAAATATAATATGTAAATTTTGCTTTTGTGTGGCATTTACAGGATAGAGTGAAACAAGCTTTAAAACAGCAGGAGCTCGAGGAAACCAGCGGAGAGAGACGGAAAAGAAAATCATCGTCCAGTGCGAATGTAAAAGAGGTTGAGAATGAAAAAACGGAAAAAAGTGTTGAGAAGAGCAAAGAAGAAATAAAAGATGAAAATCCTAAAGTGAAGAAAAAAGCCGCGCCGCCAACTTTGTCCTTCTCAGAACTTTTGAAAATCGCGGAGAAGAAACAGCACGAGCCTGTAATGGTGGAGGTTAAACCGAAAGTCGAAGAGGAACGGCCGATGACGAAGCGCCAAAAGAAAGAATACATACAGGAAAAGGAGAGGAGGGAGCAGAAGGAGAAGAGGGAGAAAAGGGAGTTGGAAGCGAATAGATCGAGCGCTACGAGCGCATCTAGCACGCCCAACAAACCACAAGTGAACAAATCTCTTAAACCCACTGAAAAATCCGTAATCTCAAATTCAATTTTGAAAAAAAGTTTGTCCACGATGGGACCGGCTGTCTCGAAGAAGTCCAGTGAGCATAGCGCGGAAAAATTGAGTAAATCCACAATCGAGAATGAATTGTTGGAGGAACGGAAGAAGTTGGAAGCTGAGAAGAAACAACTTGAAGAGATGCGACGCTTTATCGAGGAGGAGAAAAGAAAATTGGAGCAAAATAAAAGCAAACAGGAAGATGTGAGATCCTCTAATAATAAGATACCGGTCAAATCCAAACCTGCGGACAAGCCCACGCTTAAAAATGGTAAACCATCACGGCAACTTCCGCCTGCGGATTTGAAGCCGCCGTTAGCTAACGTCAAACCGAAACAATTCCCACCGGCCGATCTCAGGTCTGCGAAATCGAAGCCGCTTGTTAAAAAGCCGCCTGTATCCATTAAACGTAAGTTTATTTGCGAATTGTATAAAAAAAGCTCAATTGTGAGGATAGTATAGATAAGCAAATTCGATATCACACGTGAAATTTTATTTTATCAGGACGGATTTATGATGAAGACGAAGAAGACTCGGACTTGGACGGTTTCATCGTCAAAGAACCGGATGAGGATATATGCAGGGAACATGTTAGCAAGTTTATTAGTGAAATATTCAACTATGACAAATCCCACTATGATGACGAACAAGAAGAAGATGACGTTGCTATGGAGAGTAATTTTGAGCAACAGATGAAAGAAGAATTCACATCTGCCAAATTTGGTATGCATGATATATATTGCAAGCGTTGAATTTATGTTTGGAGTAGTTTTTATTGAAAAAAAAAAAATCTATTCTTGTAGGATACATGGAAGATCTAGCAGACATAGAAATGGAAAAGCAGAGAAAGGCTTTGATAAAGAAGAGAAAAGCTTTGATAAAGAAGATGAAAAAATAATGTACATAATGTTTTATATGTAAAATACAATCGACTCCTTTATAACAAGGGAAATCGTGCGTTCTGTATTATAACTCTCTTTTACACAATCGGTTTTTCGTGTCAAAACAAGACGTCTTTGCTAACAAAGACGAGAACCAACTTCGGCAATAGCAAGACGCAAGCCAGTTACTATTCCAATTATACATATTTAACTTCACGCCGCACTGGAGTTCATTGTATTCGCTGTAGACGTACAGCATGTGTATTTATACATATTTATATGTGTTAATGTTTTAACTTTTTGATATATATTATTGAACATTATACAAATCGTAAGAATATAAAATATATTGGAAAATATATTGAATATATATATTGTATATAAATCGCGTAAGAATGTTGAAAGAGTATTGCGTTTTTTTTTTTCATCTCTCGCTTGTAATACGATGAGAATTTGGGCGTTCTCACTACTTCTTCTTTTATATGGCTCACTCCCCTGCGAGAGAGGAGCAAACGCCAGTCTATAGATATACATTCTCAGAACGAATGTGGGAGGGGGGGATGTGCAGTTTTTACCTACTACCACGCGATCACGGCCGTCTTTCACAGTGGGCGTGTGCCCATCTATGTCGGGAGCTCGTGCTCAAGGTGTTATGACTACGATCGCCTTGTGGGAGGGAAATTAATTCGGGATTACACCCGAATTAATTTTTGGAGGCCCGATTAAGTTCGCCACAATCAACCGATAAACTCGATTGAAAGAGAGACCGGCCCGGAAAAAATCCTTAGGTGGTGAGCGTGGATTCGAACTCGGGACCTCCACAGGTTCGCACAGCCCCTGCACTCAGGCCGCGAGACCACTGGGCCGGTCGTCGGCGTTCTCACTATCAGAGAGAAGCGTGAAAGCGGCCAGACCCGTAAAAGAATGTGTAATCACTTTTTCGTCCCGTAAACTAGCGCATGTCCACGGATGGTGTGCACATTGAAACTACGTAGCGATGTACACGAGCGACACTTGGTGCGCTATGTTCACAGCGATTCTATTCTATGTTATGTGCACGAGTTTTTAAATGATCATCTTTTTTTAAGTGTGTGAGTATATTCGCGAGCGTGGATTTGATTTCTTTTGAAATTTAAAATGACCGGTCTCGTCTGATGAGAAGATGAAAAAGGGGAGAACAGAAAAGGATAACAAAAACAACATTGCAACTTTTTACGCAACATAAATGTGATATGCAAGAAAAGATGTGATAGTCAAGAAAAGAATATTATTTTAGCGAGATCAGCATCAGAATTCACGGAGTGTGTTCCCATGTAGGACATCATCCTCCTTTTACATCGTATATAGATGCGGTGTTTTTTAAAACGCGCAGTTTTTTAGACACGCTTCTCTCTGACACTACATACGTCGCGCCGTCGTTTTGCGCGTGCGCAAAACGACCCGAGAGATGCGTTTCACGGATTTTCGCGTGTGCGCGATTTCAGCTTTGACAGGTTTTGTACCGATATCGGATAAATTACGCCGGTTATTCGTGCGATCATGTGATTACGTGATTTTGGAGTATACACTAGTGGCCGATTACGCAGTTTTAGAAGTATGTCAATAAAATCGTACACCTATATATTCTCGTAGTTTTGAGACTTTCTTATTTATGTATTTTCACACGCGCGCGTTTACGTACACACCGTGCGCTCGCTCGTTTTTGCTCGTTGCTTTGATTCATTAAATTGATTTAATTGCAGAATGTTGAACATCGCAGGATATCGCGCAAAGATACTGGGACTCTACAATGTTACGAAACACATACTCAGTCGAAGACAAAACTCACTCTTCACAAGTGCAAGAACGAATGTCAACAATCTTCGCTTCTTGAGGGAGTACTGTCCGCTTCTGAAGGTAATAAACTATCTGCTTGTTGATGCATTTGACAACGCTTAATAATATTAACGTACGTGTGTCGAGCAATGCAATAGATACTAATTCTGACAATTCTGACAATTAGCAGAAGCCGTTCGGAGAAGTAAATATCACAAATCGTAGTTATGCTACAAAACGAAGCAACTGGAACAAGGACAAAATTGTGGGATCTTGGCTTCTCACTTGCGGCGGTATGGTTTTCGTGGCGGTTGCGCTAGGTACTCTAATTTATTACGTGTATTATCGCTACATTTGTGATATAATGCAAATGATTGTAGAAAAGACGTACGGGAAATAGATATTTAAATTAAATTATTCGATCTATGTTACTCTCTATGTCTAGTAAAAACAATTATATTTCGAGTAATATATATAATCTGTGTGACGATCATTTTTTTTTTTTTAATGTGAATGTTAAATAAAATCTATGAGAAACAACAAAAAAAGAATTTGTTTTCTTCTTTCTTTTGCATTTAGGGGGTATAACGAGACTCACAGAATCGGGTTTGTCTATGGTCACTTGGAAATTGCTGGGAGAAAAAATGCCTCTCAACGAGAGCCAGTGGGTTTCGGAATTCGAACGTTACAAACAATATCCTGAGTATAAGATGTAAGAAACTAAAAAAGAAATTAGCAACATTTGTATTGATAGAGAGAAATATATATATGTGTGTGTGTGTGTTAAGGATATAAATATTTCTGTAGAACCAATCAGAATATGACGCTGGAAGAGTTCAAACGTATCTGGTGGATGGAATATTTGCACAGAACGTGGGGACGTTTGATCGGCGCTGTGTTTATAATTCCAGCGACGTATTTTTGGTTTAACGGAATGTTCAGACGCGGAATGAAGATACGCGTCGCCATTATGGGCTCGTTAATCGGTCTGCAGGGACTCATGGGGTGGTACATGGTGAAATCCGGATTGGAGGATCGTTTCACGGAACCGTCCGATGTGCCGCGGGTGTCGCAGTATCGTTTAGCCGTGCACCTCGGACTGGCGTTGCTCCTGTACACCGGATTTCTTTACAACGCTCTGGACCATTTGATTCCCGCTCAAAAAGTCGCAATCGATTCCGGCAAGGTCGCAATCGATGCGATGAAACCTCTGAAGAGATTCAAACGATTGATGCACTCGACAAAAGGACTCGTGTTCTTTACCGCCCTGTCCGGGGCGTTTGTGGCCGGAATGGACGCTGGTCTGATCTACAATACTTTTCCGAAAATGGCAGATAAGTGGATACCCGACGATATACTCGCTATATCGCCTGTGTTGAAAAACTTCACGGAGAATCCGACTACAGTACAATTTGATCACAGAATTTTGGTGAGTACTGCTATATATATGTTGATTAAACACGCTATACTTACACTTTTAACATACATATTTTTTTTTTCAGGGAATAACCACTATAGCGTTAATAACGTGCTTGGGCGTTTTGTCCCGCAAACATCACCTTCCAGGTCGGGGAAGAAAAGCGATGGTCGCGGTACTATGCGCCGGTTACTTGCAAGTACTTTTAGGCATTTCGACTTTACTGACTCACGTTCCTGTAACGCTAGCCGCATCTCACCAGTCCGGTAGTCTTATACTGTTGAGCGCGATAATCTGGCTGTGCCACGAATTGAAATATCTAGGAAAGTTTGCTAAGTAAATTTGTTATAGAAAAAAAATCAAATAAAATCAATAATAGACTTATAGATTTTGTATGCAGATATTTTACGTAATAAAACAAGTTATTTATTCCCTAAAAAAACTGTGTCGACTATCTCTTGTTTTTATTTCAACGCAATAGATATGCTTGTTCATTGTACATAACAATTCGAGCGTTCAGGTATAGAACTCTTTAACGTTTCACGCGCTTTATTTTCATCATACACAATATGTTATAATAATTAATCTTAGGAACTATTTTATATACAACTTTTTTTTAAATAATAATAATGTTTGCTATTCGAATATATATAATATGAAATGATTGTAATTTTGTACATAAATATATAATTGAGTTGTTCTTGCGCGTGTATGTGTGTGTGTGTGTGTACGTGTTCACAAGATAAAAATCTTGAAATATATATATATATATATATATATATATATATATGTATATACACACATATATGTATATATATATATACCATGAAGTGAGATACATATTTTACGTAGAATTGTTCCTACAGAACGAAAATCGGTGACTCAATATTATCATTCGTTCCACATTATATAACTTCGAAGCGTGTGTAACTGTGCTTAAGCATTTCTGTATGTACTATTAAATATCATTTAAATGTTCATTCAATTCTCTCCCCTCGGAAAAATCTTTACATTAGGGCAGTTACATTATCGTCTAATTTATTTCAATTGTTTAATTTCAAAATGCTCCATAAGCATCTTTTTTTTTTTTTTGTTTTTTGTTTTTTGGTCCGATATAATATCGTTAAGTACCACTCTTTTATGTATATCAGGCAGTTAAAATTACATTTCATTATTGTAACAATTTTTTTTTTTTTATTTACATACAATTTTCTCTCTATTATTTTGGCGACGGTTTTTTTCAGTGCGTGATGACACACCTTTGCTTAGTATTAAACTGAGCACTAGTATATATCGATAGAAATTATTTCAATATTCTCTAGGCACAAACACAAGAATATCCCCTATTTAAAAACCGGCCAATTTACACTAATTATCGTTAGACGTAATCTAGAAGTATCGATATATATAGATATATATGTGTATATATATATATATATATATATATATATATATATATACACATACACATACATATACATATATACATATATATATGTGAATTTTATGTGATCTGGAGATCTTGTATATAACATTTTTTTCTTGAGCTGTCGCTTCATTATGAAGTTGTGTATTGCACAAAACACGTCTTTCAATGAGAAAAAATAACGATCGTTGTTCTCGGTGCTTACCGTATTTAGTTTTTTGCCGATTTCTTCGCTGTATACCGTCTCTCTGTAGGCGTGTTTATAGAAAACGTGTTGCGAAGTAATTAGTATTTCGTGTGAGAATTGAGAACATGTATCTAATATCAAAAACAACTGTTTACACCATATGCGATATTATTCCGCAGTTGCGTGTGCATGTTGTGTAAACGGAGTTCTTAACAATTTAACACTATATATATATATATATTTTTTTTAATATGCGTATAAATGTAATCTTGGCAAAAAAAATTTTTTGAAATGAAGTTAATTTGTCTGTTTTCTTTTTGCGAAAAAATGTTTGCTAATCTCTGAGAAAAAAACTGAAAGGAAAAAAGAGATTGTACAACTTGAAAAAGTAGGGAAATGTATACATATATATACATATATATATACAATATATATATGTAGTCGGAATCGTCAAAGTCTCGAAATTGTAATAAAACTACTTAAGACTGGGCAGTGCAGATCTTTTTTTATACGCACATTCGAAAAATATAATACACACATATAAATAGAAAATTATATAAAATTTATGTCGCAAATGAATTTTCTCACTCGATAATAATAATTGATTTTTCTTTTGTTTGTCCATGCAAAGCACATCTTGAGAACTTGAGCACTATACACAATGAATCATTTATTTATATCTATATACGAGTCAGATAAGATTACAGTTATAAATGTTTTATTGCACCCAAAAAATTTATGTATTGCATATAGCGCACAAACCTATTGATCGTACAATCCTTTTATTTACGTGAGATAAATGCAAAAATTTGTATTAGTCTTATTTATCACGCATCCCTTCGTATTTCCCCAAACAATTTTCAGCTGCGTCTCTCACGATCTTATTCTCAACACCTTAATTACACTTATAGAATAATAATATGTTAGGCCTACGAAATTTAGGTGTTCTTACGAGAAGATAATAATTAAAAACGCGAATATATATATTAAATTTTTAGAATTACGTTATACGCAACGCCAGTATATGACAATTGTCTCGCTTCATTACAGAGATGTTAGTTCGATGAAAAATACGTATTCACGTGAATCGAATAAAGCAATTTTTTTGATTTATTTTTTTTTACACACAAACGCATGTGCGATACGAAAGTCACGAAGAACATTTGTTAATTGCAAAAGCAGAGCTGAACACGGAAAATTAATACGAGTGTGTCACCTAAAAATATCATATTTTGCAATGAGTATTATACAGTGTTTTTTTTTTTTTATTCCACTATTGTCCATTCAAAATCCGTTTACTTTACGCGTTTTCGTGATGTGTTGATGTAAATCTGATAAGCAATACAAAATAGAATCTGAAGTGTTACTCTTCTATCTGATTTTGCAAAACGTAACATATACAAACAATTCATATACGTGTTAATTAACGTGTAATTCACGACATGTATTTTTTGTTTTGCGCGCGATCATAATAAGCAAAAAGTATTTTTCGAATAACGTATTTATATATATTGTACACATAAACTTCCGATTATATATAATAAATAATGAAAAATAGTACGTCCATTTATATTTTTTTAGGAATATAAATATACATCATGTAACTCTTTTATTTTTAATTATCTATAAGCTGCGTTGTCTTTATCCTATATTTGTTTGTTGTCTCTCTTTCTAATATGTAACTTTACTCGTGGCAATAATTTTGATTGCTCGTCCCGCCAATCAATTATTAGCCCAAGTAGGTAAAAAGCTCAACAGCTCGCATCGCAAACCATTAGAGCTTGTTAGATTGGTGTTACTTATTTAAATGTAGGCATTTCAAGATCGAAACTAGACAGAAGTAGAAGAGAGAGAGAGAGAGAGAGAAAGAGAGAGAGAAAAGAGCCACTTAACTGTCAATTTTAAGTAGATTAAATAGAGAAGTTTATGCAGTACAAGACAATTGTTTGTTATATATCCAATTTTCGTCTCTTGAAATAATTTAACTTTTGATAATACTCTCTCGTATATGTATATATATGTATAACATTACGCGATACAAAATTAAAAAATATGATATTCTTTCTTACTTGAATACATGGTTAACAAGGTTTTGTTAACAAGCGTAAAAATATTCTTATTATTTCATTGCTTGATTTTTTTAAAACATGACCTGTCTTGCGTCATGTTCGTGCGCAAGTTCAACTAGCTTTCACGGGACTGTAATCTGTCTTTTCTGGATTTACAATTACTTGTATAACATAACCCGGTTGCACTTTTGCTTCCTCTATGTGCATTTTATCACCCAGCAATTTACCGCCAAAGAACCACCTCTGACGCGACGGTTCCAGACCTTCTTGACTCTATGACATCATTATATAATCATGTATAAAAACAACTCTCCTTTATCATATATGTATTATACATATATATCAATTAAGTATTATTAGCATTAAGACACAAACCTGTAATTTTTTCTTGGCAATGCCAATAGTGTCATTGCTATAAACAGGTAGTTTAACTTCTCCTAAAGTAGTCGATAATCTAAGTTTCAAAGTCTGCTCCGTTCCCTCGTCAATTGGTTCTACATAGAGTTAATATGCAAGCAATAAGATGTTTTAAATTAATAAATCACCATATCAATAAGTTTCGCCTTTTTTTTTGTTACCTGAACAATCGGCAGGAGAATCTCTTCCGCTATCTTCCTTGACGATATTAATTGGATAGGATAAACAATAAATAGGTACTTGATAACGGGTTCCTAATTCGTCGTAACATTCGGTTAAGAAGCCATTTGGCACAGAAATATTCGCCCCGTCCAATATCGCCTGTGCCAACTGGTAGTCCTGCGCCTCCGCAGCGGTCGCGCCCGCCCTCAGCGCGTCCCAGATCTCTTTGCGACCGTCAAACGCGGGCGCGGTATCCCAGAACTCATCTCGCTTACTTCTCAATTGACCCTCAGTCAATGGTACATCAGACTTCCATCTAATTACCTCATGGCACAAGAGATGATTTTTCCTTGAATTTCCTACAGATATAAACAAATGCGTATTGCTTTGTTCTTTTCTTTTCTATACACGTATTTTAAATATTATTTCGGATAATATTATCCAGTCGCGAAGAAATGTGTACATTATCTTGGCAACGATATAACACACTAAACAAAACAATATAGAAATTTCTTTACTGTTTCATCTATTTTTTTACACCCCATGTACTTATAAAATTGTTTTGTACTCAAACACGAAGAAAAAAATATTATAACACCTAAACAAACTAAATTTCCAAAACTTTTGAATACTCTTTGGTAAATTTATCGATTCGATGTTGTATTTGGTTAGTTAGACGCGTAAATGCTGATTGCGATTCAAAATTGTGCGCTCGCCGCACAAAATATCGCAAAATAATTGAATTCAAACGTGACGAAGCAAACGTTTTTTTTTTTTTTACCTAAAAAAAACACGATGGACTTTTGAGCACAAATGGTCTCGCTTATCCCACATAAAATCTATCTGCGACCTAACGCTGATATCGCTGATAATTTGTCGAATTTTTCGCGAGATTCGCATTTTATCGAGAAACACAAAAAGTAAACACCGTGTTATCACATCCGGCAGATAACGTTATATCTCCGATATTAAAGAACGAAAATAAGAACTGAACGCGAAATTCAAGGTTAGATGATGCGCGTTTAAAGTCGCATAAAATTTCACACACACAACTGGGAACGCGAACAATAAATCTTACCCGAATTGGTTCTCGTCGAACTCTCCGATGTATCGTTAACTGAGGCATTTCTCGCCCTAGTTATACCTATGCAGCCTCCCATTCTACGCAACCAGAGCAAACAAACATTTCACTAAAATTTAATAACACTTCGCATGCCATTTTCTTCCATCTTATCCAATCGAATCCTCGCCACAGCCATATTGCATTACAGTCGGTGACAGAAGAAATTTGCATCTCCGCTAGATGGAGCGAAAACTTCGAATCCCGAACGAGGTTCGAGTCTTTGCTTAAGCACGAACTTCTTTTTTTTTTTTTTTTTAATTATTACACTAAATATCTTTTATGTAACACTGAAATCCCGCAAGAAGCAAAAAGAACTCGGCGTCTCTGAACAAGCAAACGGTCGCAAAAGCGCCTCAATTAAAAGAAAAAACATTGCAAGCGAAAAAATGTTGACATCTGAAGTTTTTTTAAACGCTTGATATTTTTTTTTTTTTTTTCTATTTGAACTAAGTTTTTAACGAAAAAAAACACATACCGCATTTTTTTAATAAAATTTTGCAATTGAAGAGCGTCAACACTTCACAGAGTCTTTGAACAGTAAAACGCTAACGCTGTAATATTATTTATCAGAAGACACACTTTTCTCATTGTGTAGCTACATTAAAATTCAGTGTGTTGTAACTCTAACGAAGAAAATTAAACACAGTCACAGTTTTTTTTTAATTAAAAATTATATTTAACGATAAGTGTGTGCATTGGCGACGAAAGAGTCAGGAAAATTCTTTTTTTTTTTTTTTTCTTTATAAGAAACGGGGACTCGTGCACCCTTGTGCTATATGCAAATGAGTAAAAAAAATTACGGTGTTACGTTAATTTTTGCGTCGCATTAATGAGAGAGATACAAATGAATCAGCGAGAAATGAGGAAAAATATAACGTAACGCGCAGCATCGCGCACACAGCTTCCCGAAGGGATCAATACGAAAATGCGCGCACATCCTTCGTTTCCTCGCTTGCTCTCTCGCTTGTAGGTTGTGGACGGCTCTCTACCGTCGTGAATAAGCGCATAATCCATCCCGGAGAAATGTTGAAAGTATTATCGTTTAACAATACAATTACTCTTATCGAAATTATATTATTGATATTGACAATATTGTCTTGTCTTTGTTTTAGGATTTCACAATCAGAATTAGAGTCCGCGATTTCATTACGATTCGAAGTATTTTGACACACTTGTGTACAACGTGAGCAAAGACGTTCGGTCGAACTAACACGATGGGAAGCAGATATTACGAATCATGTAATTACCAGTTTTCTATTTGTATTTTCTATTTTGTTAGAAAAAAAAATTGAATTTAATAATTTAATACCAATATCTGTGTGTGTGTGTGTGTGTGTGTGTGAGCTTCTTAAATATACATTTTTGTTTATTATTACACGTTAAAAATAGAAAAAAAAAATAATTACGTACGCACTGAACACACATGTATATACAACGTGGATGGTATCGCAAAAATTTTTTAAAATTACAGATAGTCTAAAGTTGACTAGCTTGCACGATTACTATCAACGACTGCTTCATGGAAGCCAACCGTTGCCTTCCGGTCTGGATATCGCAAACATATTGAAATTTTTTTCCCAAACTTTACTGGGTAAGTGTGGAACAACTGTGCGATGATCAAAAACAAACCGTGACGCACTGTTCCGTTTTCCGTCAGTGTTACTTTACTTCGCGTTATCGTTTCTCGTCACGGCATTCAACGATTTGTCTCCAGCGAATATAAAAAATGAGCTCTGGGGTTTTTTTTTGGTTTTTTCTAGCTTTATTGAAAGAGGTGCGCGAGGAACCGTTCGAGATGATCAAGTCGCAGAAGTTCGACGGGGAACGAATGGCTTTGTATCCGAGTCTGGATTACAGACAGCTTTACAACGCGCTGACGCAGTTGATCGACGTTGTGCCGCTACTTCACCTCGGTCTGCAAGGTTCAACCCTCGTTATTAGCAAAACGGCAGCCGCAGAAGGACGGTCACTGAATTTAGTTTTTTTTTTTTTTTTTTTTTTTTTTTTAAGTACATCTTATTTACGCGCTCTTTCAGTGATTCGCATCGCACGACCACGTACGATACAACTTGACTCTTGCCTGGTTCCAATTCTGTTCTATAGTGCGATCTTGTTCCTCGGTTCGAGCTCGTTGTTCGAGCAACATTTCAACATTTTTCTTGTTTTTCAGCACACAACCAAGTAACCCACCTCATGACTCATTTTCTAGCGTTCGGGAAAGCTTTGCTGCAGTGTCTAGCGTGCCTGTTGCCGTTTCTCGATCACGATCTGATCGACAATCTGTCGTACTTGACTGCTAGCACGATATCGGTACTTCCCATGGAACTGCACGAGGAAATCGTCAATTACCTCTGTTTTTACATTTTACCGCTCACCATCAGTGAGTCTTTTCATTACGTTATTTGTGTGTGTGCGTGTGTGTATAAGTGTTTCCTATAAATTTATACCGCGACGAGCACACACATTCAAATCTCTTTCTTTCTCTCTCTTTTCGAGAAGACAAGAAACGAGAGAAAAAGAATTTCAGTGTCGAGAATAAGAAAAATTTTCCTGCCGCTAAGAAAAACGCATTGACGAAAGAAGGAATTGAGATGTGTATTTTTTTTTTTTCGAAATCATGAACTTTGCTCGATTAGAGCAAAGCTTGTTGGTATTTTTTTTATTGTGTAATAATACGGTGCAAATTTATATTAACTGTAGCTCGCAGTTACCATCGCGACTGAAAAAAAAATACTTTGCAATAGGAAGAGTGAACGAATTATAAATTTGTATTGCGAGAACTTTAATTTTCAGCGAGAAGAGTTGAGTCCGGAAACGAGAATGCCGCCAGTCAATCGATAGCCGCTGTTATAATGATGGTGTTTCAATACTCCAATAATCCAGGTTTGTTATGACAATTCTATTTCTTTTTTTTATTTATTTATTTTTTTATTATCGAAGAACTTAGTTTTAAACTTTTTTGTGACTTTTTTCTCTTTTAATGTAACGCAAAATGTTTTATTTCTCTTTTTTTTTTTTTTTCAGCGCATCACTGTCAATTGCTGGAATGCTTGATGGCATTGAAACCGGGAGTGGTGAAGGACATACTCTGCGTCGTCGCTTACGGCACCGCGCCTGCGAGAGCCTCGGCCGCGAAGTTGCTATTTTATTACTGGCCATCGTTCAATCCGAATCTGTTCGATCGCCGCGCGGTGTTGGTCAAATTCGCCAGTGAGCGCCACAAAAATTCGTCTCGTACAATCTCTGTTGTGGTAAAATTTTGTTCGTCTTTAAACGATACACTGACTCTCTTCGTTGTTACGCCCGTTTCAGACGATCTCACCCCTTTCGTGTGCCAACGGGACAATTGTCCGAACGCCGGCAACGCCGAGGCCGCCAAGGTCTGCTACGATCATCGCATCTCGATCACGTTTGCCAACGAATCCCCGCCGCCTCTCTATCTCTGCATCGAATGCGCGAACGAGATACACCGCGAGCATCCGAATCAGATGTTCTACGACATTCTGCACCCGATGCAGCAGGTGTCCATGGTTTGCGAGAACAAGGTCAGGCGTTGTCGCTTGAAAATTATTCGTCGCTTGAATATTGTTGTTGTTGTTGTTTTTTTTTTTTTTTCAATTATTCACGAAAATATACAGAGCGGACCGGCTGTGTATATATATATAGGTGCGAGGACTTGTTCGGCGCTCGCGACGTTTATTAAAAGCACACGTGCGTTCCCTGTCGTTTGTAGAACTGCAGAGCGGCGGACAAGTCGGCCATCAGCATCTGCTTCTCGACGGAGTGCGCGAGTTACAACGGTAATCATCCTATACGGTACTGCCAGCAGTGCCACAACATCCGCCACAACAATCGTCGAGGCGGCGATCACGTCTATCACCTGGCGCTGCCGCACATCTCGCAGCTGGACCCGCAGACGCAGACCTACATGGTCCAAGCGATCGTCAGGCAAGTTTCGTTCGAATAAAATCATCGAATTTTTTTTATCGCTTCCAAGCGCGTTTTTCTCGATTTAACACGTTTTCGCTTTTTAACGATTGCAGTTTGCTCAAGGAAGCCGAGCCGCTTAGCATCGACAGCAATCGGGACACGACGGAAATGAGCGCGAGCACCACAAGCAAGGCTGGCACCGGTTTTTCCGGTATAAGTGGCGGAAGCGCCGGTATCGGCGGCTCGTTCGGCCACTGCGACCCCACGAGTCTCGAGGAGCGACAGCTGCTCGGCAGATACGGGGTGTGGCTGCTCGTGGGACTTTGTACCCCTAACGAGGATACCCCGGTTGAAATACTGGGCCGTTTGTTATCAATGTTATTTCATTGGTTTCATGTCACTGCCTACTGTTTCGATGGTATTGAAAAAAGACTTATACACCTTATCTTTTCTGTTGGTAATTTAACACTGCATATATACACTTTACTCAAGTAGAACGTAGCCAGAACGTAGGTGGTAGCGTCTCTCGGCTAAATATGCGCGACGTTCACGAAATGATGTAAGTGTCCTTCTCGTAAAAAAAAAATCGCCCGCTCGCGCGGGGTGACGTGTGTATACGAGAATTCGGGAATAAAAAAACAAAGGTTCTTCACATACCGGATACAAATTCTGCAGTTCTGGTTATGCGTGTGATTAATTATATGCGCAAATCACATGGGTGAGATCGATCTCAATCGATCTCTCACATGTATTAATTATATGTTAATTATTTATAACCAAATTTTTCGGAGCTCGCGTCCATATGTGCGGGACTGTTTTTTCTTCCGGGTCACGCTGCGCGCGTCATCACGCTCTTTCTCTTCTCTCTCTTTCTCTCGACACTGTCTCAAAAGAACAAAAAAAAAAAAAAAAACAAAATTTCGCGAGTGTTGTACATGTGTTGTTTTTGAAATGCATATATATGTGTAGATATATATGTGTTTCGAAATAAGGACGTGCCTGAGAAATATTTAGCCGCGAACACAGAGTTTTACTTCTTAAATACAGATTAAAAAAAAAAAAAAAAAAAAAANGNANANAAAAATATGTAGAATATTTAATTAGAAAAAAAAAAATTACGTAGAGAATATCTAATTAGACGAAAAAAATTATCGATATAAGAATATTGCATGCGATATTATAGTTCGAAGATACTTTACACACGACTCGACACATGTCCGAAAGTTGCATTTAACGAGTGTTTCGATCGCGAATGAGAGATTTGTCTCTCTCGTCGTTGCACGACAAAAATTTCTCGGGAAACGACAAATAAATGTCCCATTTGTCTTTATTTGGTGTGTTTCGATCCTGTGTATTTTGTGTCGTTAGATTTATTATTAGTACAAAATCCACGTATAAATGATATCATTACTCTCAGAGATATCAAATTTTTATCTCTCTGTCGTCTCGCGGCGATCGGGTTTTTCTGATCGATCGAATCTTTTCAGGCCAGGCGGAGAGCGCGCTCGAGAAGCTGAAGACGGAACACGTTTGCGGCTGGTTGTCGCAGGTGATGAAAACGCATTACGAGGTCTTCATTTCCTGCCTTCTGCCGCATCCCGCTGACTACGTCAGAGTCGGCGGTCACTGGTAAGATACTCGCCCGAGTTTCAAAAAAAAACAAGAATCGAGATGTTCTAAAACACATTGCTCATTAAAAAAAACACTTGATTAAAAATTATCGCTTCGCAGGGAAACTCTGGCCTCGCGAACGTCGCACTTGAAAGACGGTCTGCACCGATTGTTTTGTCTCGTGCCGTACGAAGTGATCACGCCCGATGTGTGGGATTACGTGATGCCGCACTGGATGGAGGCGGTGGTGAACGACGTGCCCGAACACGAGCTCCACGAGTTGAAGATAATATTGAGGTGCGCGTTATTACCGCGATATAGCGACAAAATTTCTCTTTTGCGCACATTTATGCGGAAGGAGAGAGGAGGAAGGAGAGTCAGAGATTTTACGAGATATGTGAATACTGATAAGCCCGTGTTGCAGCAAGATCTTGGACCGGGACATGAACTCTCTGGGATTCGACGTGAAGAAAATGTACAACTTCGTGGCGAAACGATTCGTCAATACGAGCGCGAAGGTGCAGGAACAGGCGCTCCACTGGCTGCAAACGCTCACCCTGCTCGAGATAACGATACCGCTTGAACAACTGTTCGCGATATTCAGCGACGGTGTCACGGTGATGCAGTCGATGACCAGCGCGGAATCGGAACTTAAACCGAGCAAACCCACGAAGGAGAACGATGAGAACACATGTGTGTGCAAAAAATTGCAAATTACTTATTACGTACACAATTATCCGTAAACCGAGAAATGTCATTTATAACGAGTACACATAGCGTTACGTTTTTTTCATGAAATTTATCGAGAGAGATTGTTTATTTTTTTTTCTTTTCAATATCGAATTTCTCGCAACGAATATCGAATCGCGGATTAAATTTGCTTCCGGAATTTTTAACGAACGCGCGTTTCGAATCGATTCGATCCGTCTTTGATTTTAATAACGCACGTTCGAAAAATGTTTCATAGGTTCCATAGTGGAGAACGACTCGGGAAAGTCGACGCCGCTTTCCGACGACGTGGTGCCGACACCGAGACACATGGAATTCATGACGAACGCGGAACTCAATCTATCCTGCTGCATTCTCATGCTTGACATACTCTTGAAACAGGTGAGAAAAGAAACACGCGTTCTCTTCACGTAATGAGTTACGCGCGAATCCCTCCCGCGGTCTTTCTCCGCGAAAAGGGGAAAGCGTTTCTCCCTTTTTACGCGCTGTTTTTTTTTTTTTTTTATTCCGAGAAGAAGGGAAATTCTCTCTTTTCGCGGAAAATCGCGATTTGTTGCGCGCGAACGCACTAACGCAATATGTTTCCTCAATGCGAAGTGTAACGAAAACGCTTTGATTTCGAACAACAGATGGAACTCCAGAACGTGGACAAGCACACCGGAATTAATACGGCGGTGTGCCGGGACGCTTGTCACCTGATGAAATCCATAGTCGCGTCAAATTGGAACAACGGCCACATGTGCGCGTCCGACGCCGAGTGCACTTACTGCGAGTCCAGAGTGATTTGGCACCAACTGTGCCTGCAACTGATCACTTACATGGCACCGGAAAATCCGGCGTATCCGCCCGATGTTAGTTAATTTAATGAATACACTTTTTTGCTCAAGTTTTTCTTATCCAAAGTTCAATTTTTAACTCGATAACAATTCGCTCGATAACGCAAAATTAAATAAATTAAATAAATATTCGAACGATATAGCGCAATTAGCTTTCAAAAAGAAATTAGATCCGCGTGTCGCGTTTTCGTTTGCAGATGATTGTCGACGAGAGCGCGGATGATCAGAATCGCAAAAATTCACCGGAGAAGAAGGGCGATTCGAAACCGGATGTCGTTCTCAACATGCCGGTGCCGGAAATGCACTCCGTAGGCGGAGTCTTAGTTCACATGCCGCACGTACGTTACTTGATGAACAAGTTTTACGATCGAGAATTAACTGTCTCTCCCTCCGCGCTGACAACAACGTACATATTTATTTTATGACGTTTGTCTCATTGAGACGAATATAACGATATGTATATTCAATTTTTGCTAAAAAAAAAAAAGAAAAAAAAATCCCCTCTTTGCTACAATAAAAATTTAATTCATGGAAATTTTATTGATTCTTGCAATGAGACAAGTGTCACAGAGAGGTGTTCATTTCTACAGTCACTACGTGTCACACGATTCCTCTATTTAATTAAAAGCAGCAGCATGCCACTTCTTCTGAAAAACTGTCTTAATTGTGTGTGTGTCCGTATGCGCTTCTCTCTCTGTCTGTCTCTTCTTCCACGACACGGCCTGAAAATCACAAAAAAAAAAACACGGTAGGCTAATCTATGTCACCGGATTAGCTATTTTGATCGTCTATGTCAGTTCTTTGAACAGATTATGACAGCCACAGTAGAGACAGTTTCGGAACAGCTGGACCTAGCGGCCATCATGCCGACGGAGAAGGTCATGTCCGCCGTCGTCAGAACTGTCACGCTCTCGGAAACTGACTTGGGTGAGCCGGTGTTTCGTCTTATTTATTTTCGATCGTTTTTTTTTAATATTGCAATATATTTTATAGTTTTTTTTTTTTTAACTCTTCTACTTCTTTCAGCCAGCGCAACGGCGAGCGTGGCGAAGACGCAACTGATAGCCGAGAACGACGAGCCCACGAGTCCAAGCGCGGAAAACGACCTGGACGATTTCTGGCACACGTCCGTGGGGAAGTTTCGTTTCACGATCGAGGAATTACCGGAGCAACTTCAATACATTCACAAGCTACTGAAAGTACGGCGAATATTGCGAACGTTTGAATTTATTTGACAAAAATATTGCGAAATAAATAATTGTTAATAAATGAATCTTTCTCGCTTTTCCAGGAGATAATGACAATCGACAAACCCGACATACTGTACTACATGCTGCAGTGCCTGAACGTGATGTGTTTGTACGGCGACGCGTTTAACGTAGCGGTGAAGGATCATCAGGGATTCTTCATATGGTGCCAGGAGAACTTGCTGATAAAAAAGTACGTTCTGTAAACGCGCGAGAAACACTTGACACGTTTTTTTATTCGACGAGCCGGAAGGAAAGAAACACAAAGAGAATTTTGTTTGAATTTTCTTTCAACAGCTTGTGGGAACTTCTCAACGCGGAGCACTCGCACATAGCGCAAGTGACCGTTCCGTTGTTACTACATTGTGTGACGTTACCTTGCGGCATGGACACTTTTTGGCGGCTCGTGCAAGAGGAATTTCACAATTCTGACTGGCGCGTTAGATTCGTCGCGGGTAATTATTTTTGCAGTAATTTTTTTTTTTTTTATACAATTGTTTTACATCTTTAGCTATAAAAGCAAAGAAAAACTGTGTATCGTTCTTTGTATTGTGTATTTATAAAATTGCAAGCCAAACAACGAATGCGTCTCGGATGTTTCAGTCGAACGCGTTACATTAATCGCCAGGTTTATGGACTCGACACCGCTGCGGAACATGTCGAATCTTCAGGCCGCGTTAGCAAACGCGTTCTGCTATTTGATCACGAGCATGGACGACAGCAACGTGTACGTCGCGCAGCGTGCAACTTTGTATCTCGGTACTATTCACGATACAGCAATCAGGGTAAATCTAACCACTATCTCTCTAAAAATTCAACTTAATGAGATTAAAAAATCGAAACTCTCTTCGTTTTGCCTCGTTAAATTTTTTTTTTATTTTCGATCTCAGTAATTTTATTCGTAGTTTGTGTAGCTTTGCTTATTACTTAAAAAAAAAAAAAACTTCTTTTAAAGCTCTAATTTAATATCAAGCTTATAATTATTATTTCAGTCGTTAATTCTATGTCTGGAGACACAATTCGATTCCGTAATTGTAGACCGGCCGATGGTATTGCAATCGCTCTACCAACTGCACAACAGTCTTAGCGACCGACGTATTTTGACTTGGGAATTTTTCTTGAATCGCTTCGACACTTTGTATCTCGAGGCTCAGATCAACTTGGAGAAGTCGGGCGAGGGAATGTACTTGCGGGGTTAGTGGCGTCAGATAATCAGCGTAACTTACACACATTCAATAATTGTCAGTGTACGTCAAATTAAAAAAAAAAAAAAAAAAAATTCATTTATCATTCCCGGCTGCAGATCTAAAGAACACCGATATGAACAGCGAGGTGTTTCTGAAGAAGCTGCATCGCGCGCACGAAGCTTTGTCTCAGTCCGACGGTAGCGGGACGAGCTCCGTGAAGACGTTGAGCGCGAGCTTCGGCACCAAGTGGCCCTACAAGCGCACAATGTCCGCGCCCGCGTCGATGGTACCGCGACAGGACACCAAGCAAGGTACACAAGCATCCAGCGACGCATCGAAGCTCCCCGAGTTTAACGGAGCTTTAAGTTCTTATCATTCCTCTCTCTCCTCCCTCACTCACCCACCCTCGTTATTATCGCCTTTTTTCGCGCGCACACATCACATCGAACGTTTGTGTCACACTGTATGTTACTTTTTTACTCTTTGTTTTTTCCGCAATCTTTCACCGCAGAAAAGGAAAAGGTGTACAGCCGACAGTACTCCGCGCCGATCCTGAAACGGAAGAGCTCGAGATTCGGACTGGGTCAGTTGCTGGGGTTCACCCCCCCGCCTAATAACAGTATCCCAGGTAGAGTAGCGTGTGTGTTGCCTGCTGCAGTCGCTGGTTAGCTGTTATTAGACGAGAGACATTTAAATGTTATATTAAATCCTGAATATGTTTCGCGTGCGCGCGCGCGCGCGCGCTCGTATAAAATGTTTGCTCGTTCGTGTTTCTTTACGCGGTCTCCAATTTGAAAAAGGATGTTAAAGCGCGTTCGACTCTCCGGACGGATTCGTAACGATTCTGAAAACAAAATATAACAGTCGAACGGTAAGTACCAACTACGACCGAGTCGCAGAGATGCTTGCTTATCTGAAGAAGCGCTGCAGTCAAGGAAATATTTGTCGAACAATGTGTTTGCTCTTTTGATAAAAAAAAAAAAAGAAAAAAAAAATGAGGAAAGGATTCGCTTGCTTGCTTGCGGACCGTGAACTTAGTAGCGAGAAACTTTGCATCCGTAAAATTAGCGAGAAATTAGATTTGTGATAGTGAAGATAATTTTTGAAAATGAAAGTAATTTTTGTTTTGTCGACTACTACTCTCGTAGATCTCGTTAGAAAATTTTTGACGAAGCAAGCGCGCGAGAGATTGTTTTTGTTTAAAATTGCGAAAAGCGCTTCCTTTCTCTACTACTCTTTTTCCGTAAGATACAAATAGAAATAAAATTTTTAATTTCTGCATCTCGTTATCTTTGTGGAACATGATCTTAAATTAATGGTTTCTTTTATGCCTTTGCTTCGATTGCATCAGCCTAGACTTTTAAGGTAAAAGTATAATACGCATGCCATATCTCTTCTCTATGTTGCCTGGTATACATACTTGTTGCGTCTTGCTTTCGTGCGTTTATCTTTTATACGACCGATATTCTTTCAAATGTGAAAATTATTATATACACATAGATCTAGAAGAACATTAGTTCTAAAGTGAGATTTTTTATTCTTACTTTCGTATATAGATCTTGTCTTTTTACTCTTTTAGCCAACTTCTTCGGAATTGTGGAACGCGAATTAAAATTGACGCGTTTTACAGATGGCCATTTGCATTCGCTTAACATGGTCGACGAATCCAGCACGTTACCGGGAAACGCTACGAAAATTGTGGATCTCGAAGAAGCGGACAAGGAAACGATGCACTTGCTCGTGTTTCTGTTGATGCAATTTCTCTCGCGACAGGATCAGGTAAATTTTCACGTTCAATTTAAAAACATTGTCTATATTTCATTTTATTATTCGCGCGATTTTTTCGATAATTTATCGTATCGATACAATTTAAATTTTTTTAATTTTTTTTTAGGCCTATCCGACGGACGAGAAGCCATTGTTGAAGACACAGAGCATAGTTCTGCGACATTTGTATCTTCTTCTGGGATACAATCAAAACGAGCGTATCTTCCACATTTCTCCGCAACGTTTAAGGTGAAATTTTCCCTTAATTAAATCTATTGCATTTTTATCGGTTCGCAAGCAGTTCACAAAAATATGTGTGTGTGTGTGTGAACTATTATAGACTTTCAGCGGTGTTCAATGTCTTCATTGCCAATCTGCCGCAACTGCTGGACCAGAATCACGTGATAGGTTGGACGATGACGCCGCCGGTTCTCGCGATACTTCAACATTGTCCTTGTCCCCCGCAATCTACTCCTCCCACTGATCATCAACCACCGAACTACAGTCTTTGGTACTTGGAGCCACATATCAGACGGTCCTGGTTGATGTCTCTGCTCGTAATTTTGTACAAGGTAGGAAAACCAATCTGTATATGAGATATCGATATCCTCAATATCTCGATCCCTTTCAATATTTCTGTAGTTACTTTTGAACGTGTTTGAAAATAAAATCAATTATTACAAACAAATTTAATATGCATACGAGTCATGTTTTTCAGTGTCAGTACGGGCAGCAGCCCTGGTGCAATCAGCTTCAGTCGTTGGTGAAGATAGTTCTGAACACGCTCGACACGCAGCATCATCAGTGCAAGAGAATCCCGGCGACTGTGGTCATGGACGCTCCGCCGTCCAGATCTCGCGGTACGTATAATCGAACAATCTTTGATTCGCAAAAAATTTCCACGAGCGATCTTCGACTCGAGGAGTGTTTTTCTTGTCTTTCAGACGTGTCGCAACCCTCGCTCGGGGTGGAACACGACGGATTGACGACGAACGCGGGAGAATTGGAGACGGAGACCCCGCCGATGCGCACGTCGATGCACCAACGCAGCCCCGGGGCGATACACGGACAGATGGAGACGCACTGGGAGGAGAACAACGGTCCCGCGAGCCGTTATTTCAACAAGCACTTCACCAGGTCAGATAGTTTTCAGCGGCACTTCTTATCGGCACTTACTTTTAATTAATTCTCTCACTAATTTTCATATTTCTTAGAAAAAAAAAACACACACAATTCACCGTATCTCTTACGTGCGGCAAGCGCGAATGGCACAAGAATTCACCTAGTGTTAAATATATAGATCCACTTTTTTCCACGTTTCTTAGAGAACATCATACAAATATTCTCTTTTTTTTTAGAAGATCATTTCACGATAGTCACAAGAGTTTTCAAACACCTATTGTTAAATCACCTAGTGTTAAATATGTGTAGA